TGATTTCTCTCCGCAGATTCGGTTCCCCCCAGGGTTTGGATCATGGGACACTCCTATGTCTATTGGGCCAGGCAGCGTGCGGCGGTTCAGCCTGGAGGCAAGCGGTTCGGTTTTACACCTTCCGAAGCAGGGGTTCGGTGGTTTGGTACGAGAGGCATGAGGAGGGTGCGGCTCCTCCCTGAGGTGGTCCAGTTGTTCCGCCTCCTGGGGGTTCCAAGTGTCCTGGTGAACCATCTATGGGGGAATGACCTGGGTTCGGTGCCCATATGGGATTTGGTATCGGCCATTAAACGGGACTTGGCGCGCATTTTAATTCTGTTTCCCGACGTACGCCTGGTTTGGTCCGAGGTTATTGCTCGTAACTTCTGGCGGTGCACCCGGAACCAGAGCACCATGGAGCGCTGCCGCCGTAAGTTGAATAAGCGGGTTTCTCAGTTTGTTTTGGGGGATTCCGGTTCGCCATCGGATTTTTGAGCGGGATGCGGCCAATTTCTTTCGAGGGGATGGAGTGCACTTGACGGAGGTCAGGCTCAACCTATTTAATCTCGCCCTGCAAGAAGCAATGCAAAAGGGAATGGGTGGTCTTGGTAGGGTCCCCCGCTGATTTTAGGTGTAAAACAGCGGGGTTGTGGCCGGGGGTATGTCCTTGCCAATTAAGTTTGAGGTGGTTACGTTTAAGTATATGGAATAAAATAAGCAAGTTTCAGGTCTCAATCTCCCCTGCTCTAAAGGGTTAACCTTAGGTTACCTGTCGTGTCATGCCCACCGAGCGTGGATAAGGTCGGCTGGTGGTAAGCATTGGAAGGAAAGGATTTTATGCCGAGGGGGGAGGTGAGAGGAAGTGGTACATAGGCGCATGGACAGTTTATTGGCAAGGACGGTTGGGTTCACTGTATGACACTATGTGTTAAGTTATATTTATATATTTATATGTTAAGTTATGGTTATTTATGTTTAACGTCTTGGTTACAGAAAAGAAGAGAGATAATTAAATAAATTATGGATGTGTTATACAGTATTTGTTACGTTACCCTCAGCATCAAATGCACAAACCGCCGTTTAGTGAATCCTCCCCTCTTGCAATAACACAGGCTTCATGCGTATCGAGTACAATCATACGAACCGCAAGCAGGGGAATGCTGTAATCTCACGAACGGGATCCGTACGGGCACTTCACTTTACGAGCTCCAAACTCACGAATCGCCAATAGTAGCCGAACGCATATATCTCCCAAGCGGCTAATAATCCCATCCGGCAGTCTCTAGTCGTCGGTAATAAATCCCCCCAATAACGAGACCAAGCTCCGCATTGAGGGTAATACATGAACTGGCTTTACTGTGGGCTACCTGCCCGTATTTATGCAGGTCTCCCACTTGGTGGACACTCCCCTAGGGGACCAAATGGGAGACTGTAACAATAGACAAACATATGGCAGGTTAGGACCCACAGACACAGAATATTCCCAGCATGCATTAGTATTTCCTCCCCTCTGCCCTGGAGATAATTGAGAAGTAATTCAATTATCTCCAGGACAGAGGCAAATCGCCATTTTAAATTCAACACAGAAAAACACATAAAAATATATAACTTTACAATTGTCGAATGTTACCCATTCGTATCACATATCCCCAGATAGCCTGGATCTGAGTGCATATTATTGGCGAATAGTGCTCAGATCCCATACGTATAGTTCAATCGCCATGGAGTCAAAGTCTATTACAGTCTTTCGGTATGCGATTGACTCCATGGGAAGGCGATCTGGGTTAAGTCCATTCGTGCGTTTAAAACTCCCGAACGGCCGGTGTTCGTATACTTCTGTCGATTGAGAAGGGAGTTCGCCGGCATCAGCGGTGTTCGGCAGAAAAAGTGTCAGTTTTCAGTTCCATGAAATCAATGCCGAACACCGCTGGTCTTTCGCATGGTTTAAAATGGCGACCACCCTGTATTCGGTTTTAATTGAGAAGTGTCTGCAGTTAACCACAACGTTCTAATTGGGATCAAGAGGTTAACCACCAGCACACATCTCTTCTGGGTGGCCGTCCGTTCGGTAGTTTGTTCGGCAAAAACGTCCATTATACGAACAGAGGCATATGAATGAGTAATTCCATGAAAACGGCAAAACAGACGAACCAGCAATCCCAGGTTATACAGATGGATCTGTCACAGTATTTATCATATGTTATAATAAATGCTGTGGCGTGTTTCATCCATACTACGTTGTCTGTCATTATTTTGGGGGGTGGAATTGGGTTGGTATGTATTATGCCACATCGCGATTCCCCACTACGTACATAGAAACATAGAATGTGACGGCAGATAAGAACCATTCGGCCCATCTAGTCTCCCCAATTTTCTAAATACTTTCATTAGTCCCTGGCCTTATCTTATAGTTAGGAGACATACAAGGGAAGGAGCCAGTAGTAAGGGGAAAGAGCCAGCAGTAAGGAGAAGGAGCAAGCAGTAAAGGGAAGACGCCAGCAGTAAGGGGAAAGAGCCAGCAGTAAGGGGAAGGACCCAGCAGTAAGGGGAAGGACCCAGCAGTAAGGGGGAGGAGCAATCAGTAAGGGGGAGGAGCCAGCAGTAGGGGGAGGAGCCAGCAGTAAAGAGCCAGCAGTAAGGGGGCCAGCAGAGGAGCCAGCAGTAAGGGGGAGGAGCCAGCAGTAAGGGGAAGGAGCCAGCAGTAATGAGCTAACAGTAAGGTAAAGGAGCCAACAGTAAGGGGGAGGAGCCAGCAGTAAGGGGAAAGAGCCAGCAGTAAGGGGAAAGAGCCAGCAGTAAGGGGGAGGAGCCAGCAGTAAGGGGGAGGAGCCAGCAGTAAGGGGAAAGAGCCAGAGACTTTGTATCAAATTCTGAAAGTTACTGGAAATGGCAGCAAAATGTCCTGAAACTGACCAGAATCAGCTGCAATTGGCTGTCAGGGTGTGTGTCATTGTGTTTACACTGTCTCTCTACGCTGTGCTTGTGTAATTGTCTCTGCGAAGCTGGACTTTGATTTATTTGAATACTGTTCCAGCTATTTTCAGTATTGTATTTTCCATTTGAAGGCTAGTGCGCAGCAAGGTGAGTGTCTGTGTGTTTACGTGTGTGACCTGATGTATATTTGCAAGCATTCTTTTACCAGAGATTGTGAATCTGGGGAGCGGCACAGCTTCTATAAACCTCACATTACAGGCATGTTAGTTACCGCTGGATGTCCCAGTTTTACTGCCCACTCTACATGCAAACAGACAGAGACATTATATGGACACAACCTAATCGTCACCCGTATCTAGGATCGTTGGACTTCCCATTTGAGAACTGTGGGCATTAATGTGGAGTTACTCCCATGCCAGCCCTGTGAAATCTCCACACTCCTCTGGGAAGAAGTTTCACAACATTTCGGATTGAATCTGTGAAACTTTGTGGTCATTCAGCCTAAAGAGCATTTGTGAGGTCAGGCCCTTAAGAAAGGTCTGACGTTCCGATTCATCTGCATTCCGATTCATCCCAAAGGTGTTCGATGGGGTTGAGGTCAGAGCTCTGTTCCCCAAACTTGACACAAAGTTGAAAGCACCAAGTGTCTAAAATGTGTTTGTATCCTGTAACATTAAGATAACCCTTCACTGAAACCAAGAGGCCCAGCAAAACCCTAAAAAAACAGACTATTATCCCTCCTACACCCTACGTTACACTAGTTACATTTCATTAGGTAGCATTCTTCCATCAGACTGCCAGGGAGTGAAGCATGATTTATCATTGTAGATAACACAGTGGCAGTACGTTTTACATCACTCCAGCCTAAGCTTGACATTGCACATGTTGATATGCGGTTTGTGCACGACTGCTTGGCCATGGAAGCCCACCTCATGAAGTTCCCGCCACACAGTTCTAATCCAGATGTTGCTTCCAGCGCAGAGTAAAAAAAAGGGAATTGGGGGCACATCCGGAACATACACTTTGCAGGAATGGTGTTGGCGTAGACTACAATTCATACATCGAGGGAACAGCACACATAAAAATACAGTTTCAGATTTTACAAGGCTACTTATAATCACCTATCTCAGCAAACAAATATGGTAGTTCAGTTCCACCATATGGCCATATTGTGTTAAGCCCACCACTATTGGCCCCATATACTACCTCTTGTGCCAGGGGTTAGTTACACACATGGCACATGTGACTTTGACAGCCCAGAACAGTTCCAAAACTGCCTCCCCACTCCCTCCTTCCACTCATGTGCTGTGAGATAGCAAAATGGTCCAATCACAGGCTTCTCCATGCGCAGTAAGTGATTGGACCATGCCAGGGCTGCTGTGATGTCAGATGGAGGAGGGAGATCAGCGCCAGGTGCTTCAACCGGCACTCGCTTTCAGGTCAATTATAAAAACCTTTTTTCACTGTTTAAGGCTTATCATGGCTAATGGAAAATAATGGATTTCTAGGACAGCTAGTCTGTCTGATTATTGTTTGGGGTTTTAAGGTTTGTGTTCTCCGTAGTATCACTTGATCAAGGGGGGTATTTATTCCACCAGATTTCGTTTGCCAGAGATAACTTAAGAAGAGAAATGAGTTGGGTGATTTTTCTAAATCTATTTCGTCCAGAATTCTGAAAATGCCGTTTTCATATTAGCACAATTCTCTGATCAGTTGTCCAAACTTTGAAGTATTGACGTGTATCCTGCCGTGACACACACTCATATCTCCTTATATTCCTCATTATGAAAGATAAAACCTGTGTATAATATTTATGGCTATCTGTATATGTGCCCATGTTATTAGTATGGCCATCTCCACAGCCACCCATTGATGCAATAATGTAGTCACCGTACACTGCGTGTTGGGAGGAGATAAGAGAACGGATATATTCCAGGAATCGGCAGCGTATCACTGTCTGTGTGTAGCCTCTCCCATCCAGTCTGTCAGTCACACCGTTATCTACCAACATACGGTGCCACATGTGTACTCACTATCACTATACAGTGTGGCAAACACGGCCTCTGTCGTGAAGGGAGCACTTCTCAATGTGTATTTTAAGGATTTCTTTGACGACGTGTGAAATGGCAGATTGCAGATTATGAGTCTCTGGTATAAAATTGACATTATCTCTCTCCTTGGAAGGTTTTCAGTCTCCCAGGCGGCTAAGGGTTTTATGTACAAATTGCAAATTATGGAGCAAATTATGTGAGCTGGTAAAACTACTGGTTTGGAGGCAATGACGTGGCCTAAAATCGTCAGCTCTCGTACGGTTTACATTGCGCAGTTTAGAGAACAAACCCTTGGCCTGCAGCCAACACTTTATCAATATCTACTTGACCTACTGTCAGGAGCGTTTTTGATCTTGAATTAATATATCAGTGTTAAAATCCAAAATACGCTTTTGCGCATGGTTAAGCATGCAATAAATTAATCCACAGATTAAACACAGGGCAAGTGGTACCACAGATTAAATATATCTCAAATGAGAGCACGGATTAAATATACATTGAGTGACACCACAAATTAAACACACTTTAAATTATACCACAGATTAATTACGTTAGGCTATACCCAGCGCCGGACTGGCCCACTGGGATACTGCAAAATTTCCTGGTTGACCTAGCACACTATCGTTCATGTGCACAGCCACCTAGTGCGCATCGGCCCGCACGGTACAATTACAGAGTAATCACAGAATGTAGCGTGGCCGAGCAGGCAGACTGCGGGTAGAGGAGCTTCTATTCCCCTACCCGGTCTGACAGGAAGCGCTCACAGAGAGCACAGAACTGCTTCATGTCAGACCAGGCACAGCAAGCAGTAGGTCCTCCATACGGTCTGCCTGCTCGGCCACGCTACAGCAAGGTACAGGAAGAGCTGGGGGGGTCGGAAACTAATGTTACACATGGGGCAGGGGGGAACCTAATGTGACACATGAGGGCTGGGGGGGTATAGGGACCTATAGAGGGACTGAGGGAAATAATAAGGCACATGGAGGTCTGGAGGTGAAATGATACACATGGTGGGCTGGGAGAGGGGCTATAGGGACACATGGGGGCTAATGGAATACATGGAGGGCTGGGGGAGCTAATGAGACACATTGAGGTCTGGAGGGATGGATTGAGACACATGGATGTCTGGGGGGATGGATTTAGAAGCATGGAGTAATGGTACACATGTAGAGCAGGAGGGGGTGGAATGAGACACATGGAGGGACAGGGGAGAAAAAAAAAAGACACGGAGGGGTCTGGGGAGAAAGACAGAAAGGGGAACAGGAGACACAAAGAGGGGCTGGGGAAGGGGAGAATGAGACACACAGAAGTGCTGCAGCCTGGGAAAGAGACTAACAGAAGGGTTGGGGAAGGGGCGAAAGAGACAAAGGGACTGGGGCTAAGAGACACATGAAAGGGGCTTGCAGGAGAAAGACACAAACAAAATGCATCTTCACTTGTGTCTCCTGCTCTTCCTGTAATTTAGAGTCGACCGGTGAGAGAGACTTTGTATTAAAGGGACACTATAGTCACCAGAACTTCTACAGTTTAAAGTAGTTGTCCTGGTGTCTATAGCCTGTCCCTGTATGCTGAGCACTGTAAATGCTACCTTTTCAGAGAAAATGCAGTGTTGGTTAATTAGCTATTGTTTCAAATAAGCATAAGCCTACCCAGGTGTTAAAAAATGCTAGTGGGTTGTGCTTTTATGAGTTATGTAAGGGTTGTTGTCATTAGCTTGGCTAATATAGCTTGGTTGCTACATCTAAGTGCTGCTTCAAAGTGTGTTGTGACGGACAGCCTGGCACCCTGACCGGGTGCCTCCGCCAATCGATGCTCCTAGTGCTCACCGAGGACTCCAAGCACTCCACTAGACACCATCTGCACCGTAGACCCCAGAAACCACTGCAACTAGGTAGGGTTCTCGCCGTCCTCCACCCACCCTGGACCGAAGACCAGGATCCAGCTTCCAGTGGGTGAACCTCTCCTTCTCCAGAGAGTATAGCAGAAACAGCTCTTATAAGAGCTAGTGATTATAATCCAAGGGAGTATGAGTATAGCAATCCCCAGAGTGAATATAGTTGTCCCCTCCACACATGAGATGAGGCTCTATGTTGAGGGTGAAGAGGAACTGATTTTATTGGTGCCACACTTGGCCTTTTATGACAATCCCCATGCAAGCGGTACTCCCAACTGGACCTGATGGAAGACTGAATTACAAAGTCACAGGCCAATGACAACAGTGTTAAAATACATGACACTCCCATACATAAAAAGCTAATCCCTCCTCTGGGCCTGCAAAATAATTGGATCAGGAACTGTACTAATCTAATCCAATTATCTCCAAGTACAGAAAAACACACTTTTCCCCAAACATTCCCAAAGTACCCCAAAAACACATAAAACCCCACAGGGGTTCAGGAATTTCCTAGAAGTCATTTATTTGACCGACCCCAGGCATGGTCCCATGCCCAAAACAGTTCCAGAGAATCAGGGCTTGCGGTTGGTCTAGTTCGGTAGTTTGAATACGAACAAACTACCTAACAGAGTCAATAGTCTTACCCTGGAGCTTGTTCCCCTTATCCAGACAAATGATTTCACCGAACAGTGTCCTTCTGAGCTGTATAGAAATGAACGCAGGTGATGATGGAAGTCCAGCAGTGTTCGGGAGTTTGTGTCCGATTTTAGTTCCATGAGATTTATGCCCAAACACCGCTGCCTGCGTTCATGCGAACAAGATGGCCGCCACCTCCTGGTTGTCCATAGGAATTCTGGCCACCCAGACGAACAATTAGAACACTGCGGTGAGAACCTTCCAAGTTGTTAATAGGTGTTAACAAGCTCCAGGGTGGTCTACTTTTTAAAGTATTTTAGCCAGGACTATTGCAGGGGCCATAGTCCTGGGGAAAGAGGCTGGCGAGCAGGCCGAGGTTATGTTTGCCACATGTGTGATTGGAGATATTCTGGAGGTAATCTGAGGTATATAGGAGGACAAAAAAAAGTTAAGATTTGTTTGTATTTCAATTATTTACCTCGTTAAAATGGCAGACTTAGTTCAGTGTAATAGTTGTTATGCATTTGTTTCACATTCCACTTTTTGGAGATTTTGATGCTGTCTAATCTGTACACAGTTCTCTATCTTGCGGCAGGAGATTGTATTTTTGAAGTCTGAGATTTTTAAATTATCTGGTGAACAAACTCAGGCTGGAACTGCAGCATAGCCACTGCCACAGAGACATACTAGGAATGGCAGATGGATTACTGTAGGATCTGGTAGACTTAGAGTTGTGGATAAAAGGCATATTGCACAGTCTGTTGCTCTACATAATTCATTTTCAGCACTTTCAGAGTGTAATGGTGTTATGAGACAGGCTCAGGCACCAAGTGTAGTGGTGTTGTGGAGACAGGCTTGGAGACTATGGTGAGGCCTAATAGAAAGCAGTTGTTGTTGGGGGATTCCATTATAAGAGGTGTGGAGATGGACAATGGTGGTCTTGTGAGATGTCTTCCCGGAGCTACTGCTCACAGAGACAGGAGACGTATTTGTAATATTGTTAAGCAAGCAAAGCAGGAAGGGGAATTTGATGTACTTGCCCATCTAGGGACAAATGACTTGGCTTGCAATGAGGTTTCAGAGGTTAAGGAAGTTTTTAGTGTTTTTGCCAATGATATACGGCAGGTTGCTTCCACACTGTCATTCTCTGAAGTTCTGCCTGTGCATAACACTCAGAGCGACAGGCGGATGCGTATTAGGGACTTTAATTTGTGGCTTGGTGAATGGTGTCGGGAGCAAGGATTTGGCTTTATTTCTCATGGTAGCTCTGTTTGGAATGGAGATAAGCTGTACAAAAAAGATGGTTTGCATCTTTCTCAAAAGGGAACAAATGTTCTCAGTGAGCAGTTCAGAGGTTTTGCTAGGATGTATTTAAACTAGGAGGGGGGGGCAAAAGGGTGATAAAACATCAATCCAATTGTCCCCCAAAACAAGGACAGAAGGTGCCTGTAGCAAGTGTGTTAAAAAAATGATAAGCTTAGAGTCATGTCTACAAATGCTCGCAGTTTAGGGAATAAGATCCATGAACTTGTGACAATAATGGCAACTGATAGTGTAGATTTAGTCGCTGTTACTGAGACATGGTACAATGAGAAAAATGACTGGGACATAGCAATACCAGGGTACTCTTTATATAGGAAAGATAGGGAAGGCAAGAAAGGGGGAGGGTGGCCTTGTATGTGAAGGATAGCATAAAATCTAGCCTAATAAAAGTTAGTGAGGCAAACATAGAGTCCGTTTGGGCTACGTTAGAATTTGGTAATCGCACAGTAACTCGTGTAGGTGTGATTTATAGGCCCCCAGGACAAATTGAAGAGTTAGATAATCTACTAGTTGAGGAAATAGCTAAAATGACAAGGAAGGGGGAAGTTATTGTGGCGGTCTGTCAAGGTATCACTGCCATGGAAACCTTTTTTCCCATAATAATAATACGCCAATAATCCACAGGTTAAAATATCGCCGGTATCGCATAACCCCCCACACATGAGCAAAGGCTTAATGCAGGGTAAGACTGATTTTAATGGAGAACAGGCATCAAATTTATACAGTCAGTAAACTCCTCCTCTGAACCTGGGAGATAATGGAGTCAGAGACTGCACTAAACTCAATTAGCTCCAGTCACAAAAAAAGGTACAATATTACAACACCCCAAAAGTACCCCCAAAATACATGGGATCACCACAAAAGTTACATTCCTGGGTAGCCTGGATCTGGGTGAACACCATATCCGAAAATCACCCAGATCCGTTCAGTAGTTTGCGATCGGCACCGCAGGGAAGATTTGACCGGTCTGCCACGAGGTCGAAGCCCAGAAATAGTTCCATGGAAATTGTGGCAAGAGCCGGTCTCAGTTCGTGAGGTTTTGCACGAAAACCACATAAGATATAGTCAAGCTGGTTCATGGAGAATGCTCCGTGTTCGGTATTCGGAATGCCGTTCGTCTAGGTGAATGAGAACGAGAACGGGGAGTAGATCCATAGAGAACTCTGATACATGAAATGGTGGCCACCCAGTAACTCCACAGTATGTCCCCAGATGGTTCTTAAAGGGCCAGCAGCAGCATAATAAAATACAATAAAATACAATATGCCCAAATACTGTACTTAAAGGGCCAAATCTCCCAGGGCCATAGTCAGTAGGCAGGAGGCGGGCAAGCAGGCTTCTCCAATGCCCAGTGGCGAGGTTGGTTTCGCCACAGAAGGCTTACTGATGGTAAGGCATGTCTTTTTGTTGATGATACTAAGATATGTAACAGGGTTGATGTTCCAGGAGGGATAAGCCAAATGGCAAATGATTTAGGTAAACTAGAAAAATGGTCAGAGTTAAGGGAGCTGACATTTAATGTGGATCAGTGCAAGATAATGCATCTTGGACGTAAAAACCCAAGCAGGGCCGGACTGGGGATACAAAGCAGCCCTGGAAAAAAAATAAATCTATGCCAACCCCAAAAGTCATTGCGCCATATATTGTCGCATGTAATATGTAAGGCTATGTCTTGCCACCCCAGATGATTGAGTAATATATATATTGCTTTTTCTAATATAAAATATTGGTCCTTTCAGAGTAAAACGTTTAATTATACAGTAAGCATACTCACATGCAGACACAGACAATCTCACTGACACACAGCCTCATAGACAAACAATCTCACGGATATACATCAGCTCATTGACATAAAAACACAAGATCACTCACTAGCAGGCACACACACACACACAGCTTAATGTAGTGGTTCTGGAGTCTATAGCCTGTCTCTGCAGGCTTTTCAATGTAAACATGGACTTTTCAGAGAAAATGCAGTGTTTACATTGCTTCCTAGTGACAGACACTGAGACGGTCACTAGAGGTGCTTCCTGTGTCAGTGCAGGTTGGCTGGATCATCAAGCTTGATGATCTCAACCATAGAGGCAAGACCAGTCGAGGGGAGACCAGCACGACGTTTGGAAAAAAAAAGGTGAGTAAAAACACTATTTTTAAATACACACACACACACACACACCTTGACACAGACAGAAACACACACACACACACACACACACACACACACACACCATGACACAGTCACACACCTTGACACAGACAGACATATACCATGACAGACACACACACAAACCATGACACAAACAGACCGTGACACAGACAGAAACACACACACACACACACACCATGACACAGACACATACCATGACAGACACACACACACACACACACACCATGACACAGTCAGACCGTGACACAGACAGAAACACACACCATGATACAGACAGACACACACACACACCATGACACAGTCAGACCGTGACACAGACAGAAACACACACACACACATAGACAGACACACACACACACTCACACTGAGACACATAATTGCTACCTGGCGTGCTGGCGGCCGCTGGGGGAGCTTGCTGTGCTGTCTCTGCTCCCGCAGCTTAAGGAGACCAGGGCCGGAAAATGATGTCATCTTCCGGCCCCGGACTTAAGTAGCGCACAAGGGCGGGGAGCAGAGCCAGAAGAGCCAGCTCCCACTGCAGCCGCAGGTCAGCCAGCTGTCTCCCTGGCCCTAGGTGCCGACGGCCCACCGGGAAATTTCTTATCTGCCGTCACATTCTGTTTCTATGTTACATTGCTGCTTCGGAACAGCTCTAGTGACAGTCACTCAGACGGCCACTAGAGCTGCTTCCTAGTCCAGTGCTGCACAGTGTATTGGGCATCTCCACTCTCTGCATGGAGGCCCTGAACACTCCCGTAGAGATGCATTGATGCAATTTATCTCTATGGGGAGATGCTGATTGGTGCGGTGAAGTACATAGTTTTGTCACATGTGCAATAGCCTTCCAATGCTTTCCTATGGGAATTGAATTGGCGCTGACTAAGATTATCCAGTTGTCAGCCAAAGTGAGGGAGCACACTCTCGTTACTTCAAAATGAGCAACATAACGTCATTTTATACTTCTGTGCAATAGCATACATTCACAATTTCAGTCCAATTATGAAACGTTCCTTAATATGTCGAGGTAGTTGGACTGAAACATTGAATATATGTAAATGCATGTCTGCTTACAACAAATCCTCTGTTTTGTTTATTTTGAAGCCCTATGAGTGCTTTCTTCCACGTTTGAGCGATAGTTTTCAATTCTCAGGTTTTTACCCGCTTTCATATCTGCGCACTATGCTGGCGCGACGCATTATGGGGCTGGTATAGAATTTTTTTCCAGGGCTGCTTTTCATTCCCAGTCCGGCCCTGGCTATACCACAGATGGAACACACATTTAGCTATACCACAGATAAGGTAAACCACAGCTTGAACACACGTTAAGTCATACCACGGATTAATCACGTATTAAACACACATTCAGTTATACCACGTATTAAACATGCATTCAGTTATACCACGTATTAAACACACAGTCAGTTATACCACGTATTAAACACGCATTCAGTTATACCACGTATTAAACATGCATTCAGTTATACCACGTATTAAACACACATTCAGTTATACCACGTATTAAACACACATTCAGTTATACCACGTATTAAACATGCATTCAGTTATACCACGTATTAAACACACATTCAGTTATACCACGTATTAAACACACATTCCGTTATACCACGTATTAAACACACATTCAGTTATACCACGTATTAAACACACATTCAGTTATACCACGTTATACCACGTATTAAACACACATTCAGTTATACCACGCATTAAACACACATTCAGTTATACCACGTATTAAACACACATTCAGTTATACCACGCATTAAACACACATTCAGTTATACCACGCATTAAACACACATTCAGTTATACCACGCATTAAACACACATTCAGTTATACCACGCATTAAACACACATTCCGTTATACCACGTATTAAACACAAACTAAACAATACCATAGATTAAACATGTGACAAATAAAAAAAAATGACAAAGAAAGAGCAACACGACAAAGTAGGCGACAAAACCCAAATTAAACCACGTGAACTGATTAAACCATATGGTATGTTCAGTGAAGGGTGTCAGTGGGAGACTTTAGTGGTGGGTGTGGGTCAGTGAAGGGTGTCCGTGGTGGGGGTCAGTGAAGGGTTTCAGTGGAGGGTGTCCTTGGGTGATTTTAGTGGTGGGGGTCAGTGAAGGGTTTCAGTGGAGGGTGTCTGTGAGGGATTTCGGTGGTGGGGGTCAGTGAAGGGTTTCATTGGAGGGTGTCTGTGGAGGATTTCGGTGGTGGGGGTCAGGTGTCTGTGGAGGATTTCGGTGGAGGGTGTCTGTGGAGGATTTCGGTGGTGGGGGTCAGTGAAGGGTTTCAGTGGAGGGTGTCCGTGGGGGATTTTGGTGGTGGGGGTCAGTGAAGGGTTTCAGTGGAGGGTGTCCGTGGGCATTTTGGTGGTGGGGTCAGTGAAGGGTTTCAGTGGAGGGTGTCCTTGGGTGATTTTGGTGGTGGGGTTCAGTGAAGGGTTTCAGTGGAGGGTGTCCGTGGGCATTTTGGTGGTGGGGTCAGTGAAGGGTTTCAGTGGAGGGTGTCCGTGGGGGATTTTGGTGGTGGGGGTCAGTGAAGGGTTTCAGTGGAGGGTGTCCGTGGGGGATTATGGTGGTGGGGGTCAGTGAAGGGTTTCAGTGGAGGGTGTCCGTGGGGGATTATGGTGGTGGGGGTCAGTGAAGGGTTTCAGTGGAGGAGGGTGTCGTGAGCATTTTGGTGGGTAGGGTGAAACTGAAGGGACAGTGGAGGGTGTCCATTGGGGATTTTTGCGTTAAGTAAATTGAAGGGTTTCAGTGGAGGGTGTGGGGATTAGCAGGTGGGGGTCAGTGAAGGGTTTCAGTGGAGGGTGTCCGTGGGGGATTATGGTGGTGGGGGTCAGTGAAGGGTTTCAGTGGAGGGTGTCCGTGGGGGATTATGGTGGTGGGGGTCAGTGAAGGGTTTCAGTGGAGGGTGTCCGTGGGGGATTATGGTGGTGGGGGTCAGTGAAGGGTTTCAGTGGAGGGTGTCCGTGGGGGATTTTAGTGGTGGGTGCCTGTGGAAGGTTTCAGTAGTAGGTGCATACATGTCTGCCTAACAAGTTGACCGTTTAACTACTGTATATTAATCTGGGTTATAACATTTAAAACTGTGACCTTTTCAGTTAAATAATGACATAACATTCGTATATTAACACTATATTTCATGGACAGTGACGTGTATCTGTATAGATAGTACTCACAATCACTATATATTTCAGGGGAATGTTATTCAGTCAATATACACCGTTCCTGCTCCACTAGACCCCCCGCCCCAGTCTTCACACCTCATCATGAAGGCAAATCATTTAAACTATGAGCTTCTTCCCGTCACTCTCCCTCCGCACAGCTTATTAAAGGAACACAGACATGTATTCCTAACCCTATAGTGTTAACACCATCATTTAGGTGGCTTGCCCCTGCCTTAAGTTAATAAAACTCACATTATTTCCAGCGCTGCGTGGATCCGCAGGTGCTGCCCCCCCCTCCCCCCCCCCCGGTGACATCGTCAGAATTGCCAATATTTAGCCAATGAGAAAGCACTGGATTGGCTAAAATCGGCGAGGGGGCGGGGTCAAACACTGTTTTGGACCAATCAGCACCTCCTCATAGAGATGCATTTAATTAATGCATCTCTGTGAGGAAAATTCAGCAGGGCTGCTTACTGTGCAGCACTGAGCCAGGAAGCACCTCCAATGGCCATCTGAGGAGTGGCCAGTGAAGTGATCACTAGGCTGTAATGTAAACACTGCATTTTCTCTGAAACAAGCAGTGTTTGCATGAAAATGACTGAAGGCAATGATTCTACTCACCAGAACAAATACATTGAGCTGTAGTTGTTCTGGTGATTAGTGTCCCTTTAACCTTTTTTTACTTCCTCCTCCTGCCCATCTAACAATTAAACATCATTTACCCTTCATTTTACCCCACTGCCCCTAGAACGTTGGCTGGATTGAGCAGGGCCCAACATGTCTAATATTTTGTTAGTACAGCATTTCAGAATTCGCTGTAAATACCAATAATAAGAATTTCTTATAGCCAGTATCACTATGCATTGCCGAGCCGTTCTGGGCTGTACAGTAGGGTGCTGTAATGGGTGTGCCTGGGTGGGGGTTAGTAACTGGATTAATAGATAATTCATGTCTCTCTCTGCAGATTGCCAGAACGAGCCATGGATAAAGTCAGAGGATTATTCAGAGATGTGGTGAGTTTAATAAGCCCTACATTTCTACTAATTATTCTAATACAACTCGACTCTTAATCCTTCCCAAGTCCATTATCTACTCCGTTACTCAGTACATGCGGTCTACATAACAACCATAGGCAACCTCCTGCACAGGTGTAATGGACTACATCTCCCATAATACTCATACAACCATAACGCTGGGGAAGTATCTAGGGATATGTAGTCCACATCATCACAAATGTCGAAGACTGCCTAATCCTGATATATCTCTACCTTCCTCTATATACAAACAAGATACTGTATCCCTCCCTCCCACTATATACAAACTAGATACTGTATCCCTCCCTCCCACTATATACAAACTAGATACTGTATCCCTCCCTCCCTCTATATACAAACTAGATACTGTGTCCCTCCCTCCCTCTATATACAAACTAGATACTGTATCCCTCCCTCCCTCTATATACAAACTAGATACCGTATCCCTCCCCCCCTCTATATACAAACTAGATACCGTATCCCTCCCTCCCTCTATATACAAACTAGACGCTGTATCCCTCCCTCTATATACAAACTAGATACTGTAGCCCTCCATCTATATACAAACTAGATACTGTATCCCTCCCTCCCTCTATATACAAACTAGATACCGTATCCCTCCCTCTATATACAAACTAGATACCGTATCCCTCCATCCCTCTATATACAAACTAGACACTGTATCCCTCCCTCCCTCTATATACAAACTAGATACTGTATCCATCCCTCCCTCTATATACAAACTAGACGCTGTATCCCTCCCTCTATATACAAACTAGATACTGTATCCCTCCCTCCCTCTATATACAAACTAGATACCGTATCCCTCCCTCTATATACAAACTAGATACTGTATCCCTCCCTCTATATACAAACTAGATACTGTATCCCTCCCTCCCTCTATATACAAACTAGATACTGTATCCCTCCCTCCCTCTATATACAAACTAGATACTGTATCCCTCCCTCCCTCTATATACAAACTAGATACTGTATCCCTCCCTCCCTCTATATACAAACTAGATACTGTATCCCTCCCTCCCTCTATATACAAACTAGATGCTGTATCCCTCCCTCCCTCTATATACAAACTAGATACTGTATCCCTCCCTCCCTCTATATACAAACTAGATACTGTATCCCTCCCTCTATATACAAACTAGATACTGTATCCCTCACTCTATATACAAACTAGATACTGTATCCCTCCCTCTATATACAAACTAGATACTGTATCCCTCCCTCCCTCTATATACAAACTAGATACTGTATCCCTCCCTCCCTCTATATACAAACTAGATACTGTATCCCTCCCTCTATATACAAACTAGATACCGTATCCCTCCATCCCTCTATATACAAACTAGACACTGTATCCCTCCCTCCCTCTATATACAAACTAGACACTGTATCCATCCCTCCCTCTATATACAAACTAGACGCTGTATCCCTCCCTCTATATACAAACTAGACACTGTATCCCAAATCTATAATTTTGCAAACGGCTTAAACTTTGACTTTTATAGACGTGGTCACACTTGCTGATGATTAATAAATCAAGGGCGTTTGATTAGCAGCACCGGTCTTAATTATTATGCAAGCAGTAAGGGTGTACTTAGTTTTTCACACACGTCTTCTCGATTTTAGCTTGAATTTTGGTAATTAAATCACGACACGGTTTAATATGTCATGTGTTGTTCATCTTAGGTTGTATTTACTTAATCTGCTATATACACACACACACACACACACACACACACACACACCCCTTTCTTTTAGAAATATACAATATAACTTTTTATTTTTATGCACAAAATGCAGTTTCATCTTATGTTGGTATGTAAGCTATGCAAACAGTGTCTTGCAGTAAAAGGTTAATATCCTCTTTGTGAAATTGGAAGGTGTTGCAGAACACACTGACACTATAAAATGTTGGTAATAGTAAATATTAATTAGCAAGACTTACTGAATGCTCGAGGAGGAGCTGTAACAGTGTGTATACTGGTTACCAACCTAGACAATGTCACATATACAGCCGTCAGTTTATAAAAATACAGCCGAACACAAAATATATGTCTTCAATCAACAATATCACAGTATAGATATAATCAGACCTACACAGAAACACACACCGGGTTATTCAACAAAGTCCGAACTTAAAGAGAATTTCCCATTTGAGGCCAAGGTAGTCATTCTGGGAACATAACGGAATTACAGAACGTGTCCAGTGCGACTAGTTTGAAATTCACTTAGAATTGTCTCTTTATTGAATAACGCTGAATGTTTCACTATGAATGCTTTAAGACATGTTATATATTTGGGGCTGTGTACGTCTGACTATGTTATATAGGATTTATTGTATATTTGGGCTGGGGAGATGATATATTACGTGTACAGCTGATTATTTAATATACATAAAGACTTGCTATTAAGACCTGTGTTACCCTGCAAAGCCCCAGGTAAATCAGTGCTGCCTTCATTTTCCATTGCCAGTAACAGCCTGTCAGTGCAGTTGGAAGGATGAGGACCTCAAGTCCCCACTACACAAGTGGGTTTTATACGTGAGCCAAGCTCGCCATACACGTGATATCAGCCGTACGGAGTGCATGTAGAGCTGCACATGTGATATCAGCCGTACGGAGTGCATGTAGAGCTGCACATGTGATATCAGCCGTACGCAGTGCATGTAGAGCTGCACATGTGATATCAGCCTTACGGAGTGCATGTAGAGCTGCACACGTGATATCAGCCGTACGGAGTGATTGTAGTGGAGCTCCTTGTACCCCAGCTGGGATTGCGTCCTATCTGCAACTGATGAAAAGTACTGCTCCTCTGCCCTAGTCGATGTGGCTTGACTGGGGTCCTTCACATTGCTGTGACAAACATAATAAAATTCAAATACCCAAAACATGTCACAAAATATACAGGAAATTATAATAGAATAACATTTATAAAGGGATGGGGAAGACATTAATTAACAGAACATCTCTCCTGCCTGCAGAATTAGCAATATGCAAATGTATCCGAATATGCAAATTAGCAATCCTTCCGTTTCAGGTAGTGCATTCACCGGTTGCTAGATCCTTGCAACTAACAGGTGGCGCTGTACAGGCTCCACAGCCAAATCCATCTAGTATGGTTGCAAGCATTAGCAAGACAGGCGAACACACTAACATTTAACCCAAAAAACCACATTACACACACACAATGGACACAGGGTGACTTAAACATAGGAACAGTTCAGGGTCCTACATAAAATGTCTGTAATGATCTTACCTGGAGGTGGGAGTCCAAAGTGGTGAGTTAAGGCACACCCTTGCTGTTTAACACGAACTGAGGAGATCCTAGGAAGATATCTCCAAGGTTGTGAAACAATGCACTGGGGCTTTGCAGGAAAAGTACTCCTGGATACACAGAACAGACAAGGGAATTCCAATAGAGCAGACAGGTACGGTTCCAATGGTCGGGGCAGGCGGAAATCAGGCAAATACGGTAAACAGTTCTGAAGGTCAAAGCAGGAGTCAGATGAACTAAACAGCTTCCAAGACAGGAACAAAACAGTCTGGCCAGGATTAAGTGGCAAGGCAGGGCTTATAAAGGTAGTTAACAAGCTACTTAATCAGGAACCACGAGCAGGTATAAAGTAGTCCAGGCTTAGAGATGCAGATACCATGTTGCTTCCCCAACAAACAGTCTGCATTCTTCCACTCCTCCATAATGAACAGAGGTAACTATGTGTGACTGTATGTGTGTATAAGACTGTATGTGTGGCTGTCTGTAATTGTGTGTGTGTGTGTTTATCTACCTGTAACTGTGTATGTGACTATCTGTCTGCGACTATGTGCATGTGGTGGATTTGACAGTGTATATGTATAACTGTGTGCACATAACTCTGCAAAAATATACACCTGCATTCAGACACAGGCCTAAATGCATGTTTTTATCTGAATTAAATAACCATCACACACAGCCAATAAACCCAGCAAAAATATCACATACAACCAATACACGCATATCACAGGCTGTTAATACACCCATTACAAATATCACACATAGCCAACACATAGCATGCATATCACATACACAGACAACACAAACATTACATTTTGGGGCTGTGAAGATTTTTCACACAGAGCGCCTAAAGGCCTAAGGCCAGCCCTGACACTGAGTGTATGTAGAGCTGCACTATAGCTCACATATGTGTGATATCAGCAGGGCCGGACTGGCCCACCCGGGATACCGGGAAATTTCCCGGTGGGCCGTCGGCACCTGGAGCTGGGGAGACATCTTGGTGACCTGCGGCCGCAGGGGGAGGAGAGCTCTTCTGGCGGCCGCAGGGGGAGCTGGCTGTTCTATCTTTGCTCCCCCAGCCTCGCGCGCTACTTAATAAGACCGGGGCCGGAATATGACGTCATATTCCGGCCCCGGTCTTATTAAGCTGCGCGCTGGGGAGCAGAGACAGACAGCCAGCTCCCCCTGCGGCCGCCAGCACATCCATCTGTCTGCCCACAGGTAGCAACAATTATGTGTGTCAGTGGGAGTGTATGTGTTTGTGTCTGTCTGTGTCATGGTTTGTGTCTGTCTGTCATGGTGTGTGTGTCATGGTTTGTGTCTGTCTGTCATGGTGTGTGTGTGTCTGTCTGTCTGTCTATGTCAGGGTCTGTGTCTGTCATGGTGTGTGCGTGTCTCTGTCATGGTGTGTGTCTGTCTGTGTCATGGTGTGTCTGTCATGGTATGTGTGTGTGTCAAGGTGTGTATGTCTGTCATGGTGTGTGTGTGTGTGTGTGTGTGTATCTGTCATGGTATGTGTGTGTGTGTCTGTCATGGTATGTGTGTGTCTGTCAAGGTATGTGTGTGTCTGTGTTTTTACTCACCTTTTTTTTCCCCCAAGGTCGTGCTGGTCTCCCATCGACTGGCCCTGCCTCTATGGCTATGATCATCAAGCTTGATGATCTCAGCCAATCCGCACTGACACATGAAGCACCTCTAGTGACCGTATGAGTGTCTGTCACTAGGAAGCAATGTAAACACTGCCTTTTCACTGCATTGAAAAGCCTGCAGGGACAGGCGGTAGACACCAGAACCACTACATTAAGCTGTGTGTGTGTGTACGCCTGCTAGTGAGTGAGATTGTGTTTTTATGTCAATGAGCTGATGTATATCAGTGAGATCGTTTGTCTATGAGGCTGTGTGTGTCAGTGAGATTGTCTGTGTCTGCATGTGAGTATGCTTACTGTATAATTAAACGTTTTACTCTGAAAGGAACAATATTTTATATTAGAAAAAGCAATATATATATTACTCAATCATCTGGGGTGGCAAGACATAGCCTTACATATTACATGCGACAATATATGGCGCAATGACTTATGGGGCTGGCATAGATTTTTTTTCAGGGCTGCTTTGTATCCCCAGTCCGGCCCTGAATATCAGCCGTCCGGAGCGCATGTAGAGCTGCACTATAGCTTGCCGTACATGTGATATCAGCCGTACGGAGCGCATGTTGAGCTGCACTATAGCTTGCCGTACATGTGATATCAGCCGTACGGAGCGCATGTTGAGCTGCACTATAGCTTGCCGTACATGTGATATCAGCCGTACGGAGCGCATGTAGAGTTGCACAATGTGCTTTACTCAGAACATCATCATGATAATTTCTCCCTTTTTTCCCACCTTCCAACCTTTTTGTCCTATGACTCGGCATAGTGTTATTATCAGAGCTGTGCTAAAGAAATTAAAAATAAACTGTCACTTCTCTGGAATTAACAAAATGGAATAAAACAAGGAAAATCAGCTTGTGTTAACGTTTTACATGAATTGCTCTGCTTTCTTTTAAATATATATGAATGATTTATCAAATGACATCACAATCTAGAATAAAACGTGAGTAAAGATGTAATATAGAAATATTTTTTATGTCTCCTCCTATCTATATGCTCTATGCCTGCTGACTGACAGGTGTAAAGGGCAGAGCTGGTAACAATGACTGACAGGTGTAAAGGGCGGAGTTAATGACAATGATTGACAGGGAGCTAAGATGGAGGAGTCCAGTTACAAGATAAAGAGGATATGACCCCTATTTATCCTGTAACTGGGCTCCTCCATCTTAGCTCCCTGTCATATATTTTTTTATTTTTCCCTCCTCACAAATATGTATTTGTTAAAAGGAGTAAGTAAACATGATATGAAAGATCCTGAGAAGTGGCAGTATCCCTTTAAATTCTGTGGCGTAACGTTAAACTCTTAAAATATTGGTGTGGCTATTGCTTTAAGTGACATACTTGTATCACCCCTCCAGGTGACCTCCACAAATTCGTTCTCCATCTATCATGGAGTGGAGGACCAAGAAAGCGCAGAGCTTCAGCTGGAGGACAAGCACGACGAGCCACAAGCATTGCACCCACAGAGAGGTTCCTGTCTATCTTCAATCACTCCGCTCTACCAAAAAATCCTGCTCGCCATCATTGTGGCAGTTGCTGGTAAGTGTATATAATCCAGTCAACGTCGGTCTACATCACAGGTCGTTCCCAACCTTCCCCAGTATCAGATTCATTGTAAAAGAGATAACTACATAGTTTGAGTTGTGAGAAATCTTGAAAATGGTTTTGATAAAGCTGAGAAGATTGATACATGTTGTAGCTTTCCACTGAGAGTCCCATTGATGTTATAGTCACAGTTATTCAGCACATTGCTGACTGTGACACACCAACCCGTCACTTGTTAAACTTTTTCGATTTGTTTTATCCTCAATCGCTCGGTTACCGAACAAAGTCCTGTTTTCCCCTTTTTTTTTTTGCAGTGCATATATAAAAAATACAAATAGGCCTGCCACGCCCCAACAGCCAAGGCAAGCACATCTACAACAACAGTAAAATAGACATGTGGCATTGTGAGAGTACAGCACTAGTGTTATGTTTTGATATATTCAGGTTAGTCACATATGTCTGCATCCAGACCACCACCTGGCTCGTTAACCTCTTTGACCCAATTAACTCAAGTGCTCTTCTGGGTGGCCGTCATTCGTGTGGACGAACGCATGTGTTATGTGGAAAGATGGCCATATTGTCTCGCGATTGCAGGCAGCGGTACTCGGACATCGAATGCATAGAACTAAAATCGGACACACTATCTCGCCAACACTGCTAAACTTGTACTGCTGCCTGCTTCTCTCCCAAATAAGCCAGAGAGAGCGCTTTTCAGGAAAAAGACTTGTACGAACAGGAAGAACATTTGCTCCCTAGAGCCAGGGAGGAGCATTCGGTTTTATGCGCACAGGACTGCCAAAGGGAGACCGGCCGCAGACTATTTCGTCATGGAACTATTTTGGGCTACAACCTCGTGGCCAGCTGGTCAAAACTTTACCTAGATGGCGATTCCATTCCACTGAACGAATCCAAGTGCTATTTGGACAAATTAGGGGATATAGGACTTGTGGGGTTCCTATGGAAATTGAATGTGTTTTGGGGGTATTTTCTCTGTGGGTCCCTGTAACAGAGATAATTGAGTTACCGGTCTTTGACTCAATTATCTCAGACACAGGAACGAATTGTTTCAGACACAGGAATGCCTGGGAAGAGTTTGTATGGCATTGTATGGAGACCCCATGCTGGGGGTCTGTGTATAAACTGAGTATCTTACCCTGAATAAACCAGTCTATTCCCAGCATTAAAGGACCATTATAGTGCCCTGAGGGTGCCCCCACCCTCAGGGTCCCCCTCCCGCCGGGCTCTGGGGAGAGGAAAGGGGTTAATCTTACCTTTTTTCCCAGCGCCGGGCGGGGAGCTCTCCTCCTCCTCTCCGCCTCCATTCCTCCTCTGCGGCTGAATGCGCATGCGCGGCAGGAGCTGCGCGCGCATTCAGCCGGTCTCATAGGAAAGCATTCAGAATGCTTTACTATGGACGCTGGCGTCTTCTCACTGTGATTTTCACAGTGAGAAGCACGCAAAAGCCTCTAGCGGCTGTCAATGAGGCTTTGGAGGCTGGATTAACTAGAGGCTTTGGAGGCTGGATTAACCCATTTATAAACATAGCAGTTTCTCTGAAACTGCTATGTTTATAAAAAAAAAAAATGGGTTAATCCTAGAGGGATTAGCTGAAGTGGTCTGGGTGCCTAGAGTGGTCCTTTAAGTCTTGGCTAATATCTGTGGTAAAATCTAAATCACATCTAGTGGCAGAGGTGGGATGGTTCTTTTCTCCAAGAGTGGATGCACAACCGGAGATAACTGTGAGTCAACAAATGGAGAGCAGCTACAACTAGCAAAAGAGGTCCACACTGAAAGACTTGCCAGAAAGTCAGGGACAAAGTATCAATAACTGACCCAAAAAAGTCCTGATAGCAGAGTTTATGGAGCTGCACAGAGCCAACCCTACCTCCGAGACAGCTTTCCCGAATTTGGAAGAGACCGAACATATGCCAGACATTCGGCTTCATTTAGCCTTGTTCGGGCCGAACCCCCCCTGCCGAAGTGATCCTAAAAGTAGTGGCTGATGCAGAGGCTCAAGCCAAGTGGGATTACCAGCTACGACTAGCTTAAATCCAGCATTCGGGAAAACCTGTAGCTGAGAGCATGTCCCCACAGCCAGAACGGAAAGAGATACCCTTCACAACATTTAAAGCGTCCCAGGAGAATGACTATTAAATCGATGGGTACCTCAATGATTTTGATTGGCAGTGTGCCCTACATAAGATGCCAGAAGAAGACTGGGTCCCGATTCTTGCTGGGAAACTATCAGGAAGACCTACTGAAGCTTTTTGGGCTATACCGGATGGAGAGATTTATAACTATGACAGAGTAAAAGAAGCCCTGCTAACACGCTATGCAGTCACGCCTGAAGCCTACTATAGAAGGTTCAGGGAACTGAGAAAAAAAACGAACCTACCGTCTCCACTGGGCTGCCTCGCACTGGGTATCCGGATGTCAAGCTGTGTTGGTCTAGGATATATTACAACTCATACTGTTTAAACAATTTTATAACGTGATTAACCCTGACCTCCAAGAATGGATCCGAGACAGACGACCCCTCACCCTGCCTGAAGCTGCTTGATTGGTTGACGAGTATACGGACACCAGGAAAACCGAACGACCCCTGCAAGATTCATGCCCTGAACAGAAGCCGTTTCCACTGGACCACCGACATAACCATGGAATACCTACCAATGACCATCAGTACAAGACCGGGCCCCGATGTGTCAAGTGCCAGCAAGTGTGGCACGTAAGGAGCAACTGTCCCCTAGAACCTTCGCGACCATCCTGGAACTGTCCTAGCCCTTCGGCACCCAGGGCTGCAGCTCACTGCCTGGAGACCGAAAGATCACACCTCTGGAATACTTCTCCCAATATACCGGAGGGGTCCTGGGGGGTTTTACATGAGGCGGATCCAGGCCAAGCAGCTAACATGGAGAACCATCAGCAACTAGTTCTAATGAACGATCAGACGGCTCACGGGCTTCGAGATGCAGGAGCTACCTTGATGTTGATGCAGCGACAACATACTGGACAATCCTTGGCTGTTTGGGTAGCCAGCAGAGCTATCTACAGGCTCCCCACCAACCAAGTTCACCTCGACTGGGGAGCTGGATCTGGCATAGTAAATGTGGGGATGATGAAGGACTTACCTGCTGAAGTCCTGCTTGGCAGTCATTTAGGACCTCTTACCTCAGCTCATGTTGCCAGGAACCCTGCAGAAGCTCATCCAGTCACCACCCGACTTCAAGTCCAGACTGCAGAGACAGGCTCACGTCCTGAGGAGCTCCAGGTAAGAGAAGATTCCCTGGCCACGACAGTAGAACTAGCCACGTTGTCTTGGGATACCTTAGAGGAGTTCAAGAGGAAAGTGTGAGAGGACCCCACGCTGCAGAAGTATAGAACCCGGTGTAATGGAACCGCTGACACCCCGACCGGGTACCTTCCGCTGACGGATGCTCCTAGCGCTTCCTGAGGACTTCAAGCACTGCAGCAGACACCACAACCACCGAATCTGAGAAGCATAGGAATCCTCTCTAGCATATGAATGCTGTATACAGCCGAATAGGAACCATACGGATAGGTTTACTCTCCTAGCAGTCAAACTGGAACCGCATACAATGAATCCTTCCCCCAATGAGACGACACTTCACTTTGAGGGTTAAAACAGGAACACAGGTGCTGGCACACCCAGCCTGGTTTTTATTACAGCCTTTCACATACAGGACCGCCCACAGGGAGGTATAAAACAACCAATCACATCACAGTTATATCCCACATATTCCCTCCCCTTATCCTGAGAGGAAACTCAATTACACATACAGTTAAAACATACTTTCTACCCAACTTTCATAACTAAAACTATACATCACATTCACATAAAATTACATATTCACAATCAATCCATTCAGGGGAACAACATATTAAAAAAAAATGGCCTGAATCAGACCAGGGGTTCAGAAGTTAGTAAAAGTATATTTTGGGGCCTGGCTGGCAGCATGGCTATCTGGCCCAAACTGGTTTCAGAGTCTTCTATCCTGGAGATAATTGAGAAGTAATGCAATTATCTCCAAGGACAGAGGCAAAACTCCATTAGCCACATGGCAGACAAAGGACAACAAAAGACAAAAATACATACTGTTACATTTATCACATAGAACCTACACATTTACAATTTACCGAACACATAATAGCATATATAATATTGCAGACCGCCTGAATGCAATCTGCTACACAGTCTTAAAGGGACATTGTTCCTAAAAGTCATAATATGTCCAGGGATGGTTTTTAAAGGGCCAGCAGCAGCACCATACAAATCCAATATGCCCAAATATTGTACTTGAAGGGCCAAATAACCCAGGGCCATAGTCATGAGGCAAGAGGCTGGCAATCAGGCTCCTCCAACAGCCAGGGGAAAATCCGGTGACAAAAGGCGTTTCGTCACACCCGGGCACACACAGAACAGAGGGGGCTAGAAAAGGAAAGATTTACCTTGGATCAGAACAGGCTATATCGAGTAACAGAGACCCATAGTAGAGGGACAGCCCCATCACAGAAGCACCAGCTTGTAGTCCCCATAATATACAAGCTGGAGCTTCTGCAGATCTGGCATGATGTACCCCTAGCTGGACATTTAGGCATACGCCGGACCTCTTATAGCGTGACCCAGAACTTTTTCTGGCCGGGGATCTCCCAAGACAGTACTGCCAGACATGTGATGTTTGCCAACAGGTAGGAAAAAACGGAGACCGCCCCAAAGCTCAGCTACTGTAACGGCACCCCGGCATAAAAGGGTTTAAAAGCCATTTAGGAGATATTCCCTTCCAGATATACAGGCAGCTACTGTAGACACCAATCCACCGAACCGGAGAAGCATATGAATGCCGTAAACAGCTGAACTGGAACCATGCGAATGCTGTAAACAGCCGAATAGGAAAAACCATATGAATAGGTTTACACTCCTAGCAGTCAAACTGGAACAGAATACAATAAATCCCCCCAAGAACGAGACAAGGCTCCGTTTTGAGGGTCAAGCAGGAACAGACAGAGCTGTGGGTTTATTGTCCTTATATACACATTCTTACACATTAGTACCACCCACAGGGTTTTTAAACAACCAATAAACACGTAACAAAACACTCAGACACTCCCACACAAAATCCTCCCCTCTGCCTGTAATACAATTACCTTACACAATGGGTAATGTAATTATCACAGGCAGAGAAATACAGTTTTTCCACATTATTCATAATTTTAAAAGTACGCATCACATTCACATAAACTTACATTTTCAGAATCAGCATACTCCAAATACAAACATACGTCAAAATCATACAAATTGGTCCAGTGGTTCAAAAGATAGATCATAGTCCTTTGTGACCAAATGAAGCATGGCTTTTCTGCCCAAAACCAGTTCCACAGAGTCTTCTATCCTGGAGATAATTGGGAAGTAATCGAATTATCTCCAAGGACAGAGGCAAAACTCCATTGAACACATAGCAGCAAAAGACAATAAAATACATAAAAATATATAATTCTGCAGCCATTGCATAAAACAGGTACATTCAACATATCCCCAGATAGCTCAGATCTGAGCGCACATTATTACTGAATGGTGCTCAGATCACACAAATACAGTTCAATTGCCATGGAGCCAAAGTCTTTCCCATAGTCTTTCATTATACGAATAGGCTCCATGGCATAGCTATCTGGGGTATCACCGCTCAAACAGGGCAAGCACCGAATGACACGGCTTTCGTGTCTTTGCAGTGGAAAATCAAGCGTTTTAACATGGGGTCATAGTCTAAAGGGAGCAGTCGCGCAACCAGGCTCCTCCAAAGCAATGTGGCAAGATTGCTCTCGTCACAGCTACAATCTATGCCGATCATTGAGGAGCCATTCAGCCGGGTAGCGGTAGATATTATTGGACCCCTAGCGAAGCCTCGTCCCTCCAGTAAGAAGTATATCCTTACTGTAGTGGACTATGCCACCCGGTATCCGGAAGCGGTCGCACTGACAAATATCCACGCTGAGACAGTAGCAGATGCCCTGGTAGTATGTGGGATAAAACCCATCCCCTTACCACCACCAGACAAACTGTCTCTGTGAGCGGTTCAATGGGTCGCTCAAGCAAATGTTGCGAACATTTGCCACTGCTTGCCGAGACTGGAAACGATTCCTACCGCACCTCTTATTTGCTTATCGGGAGGTACTGCAGAAATCCACTGGGTTTTCTCCCTTTGAACTATTATATGGGAGAAGAGCACGAGGTCCCCTCGACCTCATCAGAGAATATTGGGAAGGGGAGACCAAGCGCGAGGGGACTCAAATCATGCCCTATGTGCTGGAACTCTGGGACCGCATTGAACTGTTGGCTAAGATGGTAAAAGAGAACTTTCAAGCGGCCGAGGGGCAACAGAAAGTATGGTATGATCGGAGTACCAGACAGCATAGTTTCCATGTTGGACAACAGATCTTGGTTTTAAAACCGGTCTGACACGATAAATTACAGGCAGCATGGCAGGGTCCCTACAAGGTGCTGGAGCAAATCTGCAATGTAGAAGCCAGCTGTGCAGACGAGAAGGTAAAACGCTATTGTAGTTTGGATGTCCGTACCCCCTTGTTCATCTGAATGACTGGTGTGTGTGATCCCTGTGATAGACCCTCTAAAATGAATGGACCTGTTATTATGCTAAGAGCCGTTCGTATAACAAATTTTCTGCCGAACGACCGACCACCCAGAATAGGAGTGTGGCACCCATTAACCTCCCTGACCCAATTGACACCTCTAAAACCACAAACACCTCAACGTTCTAATTGATCAACAGGGTGGTCGGCGTTCGTCTGTACGAACACATGGCGGCAGCCATTTTGTTTAGCCAAACACACTCAGCAGTGTTTGGTCGTCGTACACGTGGAACTATTTTTGGCTACACTTTCCACGAACACCGCTGAAACTTCTACCTTCCATGTGTTCGGCTAAAACCATACGAACGGAGCGCTATTTCTGGAGCCTAAACTATTTCTGGAGCCTAATGACAGGGCACGAATGGATCCGTTTGTGCAATTGGTACTTTATTTGAAGGGAAAGATAGACCGATTGCACAGCCTGAATCTGTGGAACTGCTTTGTGCAGGAAAATGTGCGTACGGTCGTTCAAATAAGACTTTCAGCTAACTCCCAAACCACTGGACCAATTCGTCTGAATTTTGGATGTTTGTTCCCTGGTAATGCTGGTTCAGAAAATGTAACTTTATTGGAATTGCATGTATAGTTTTGAAGTTATCCTTTTTACACAATTTTTATATTTTTTTGCCTGGAGATAATTTAGTTGATGCAGCAATTAACTCAATTATCTCCCAAGCAGAGGGGAGGAATTTACAGTAATGAATGGGAGTGTCTAACTGTGAGATTGTACGCTATTGGTTGTTAAGTTTGTATTTTCAGTGACCAACAAGGTCCACGTGGGTGGTAACCTTGTGGGAAAACTTGTATAAAAGAAAGGTTTGTGTGTTCATTAAAACAGTTCTACTTCACCCTCAATCTAGAGTCTTGTCTCTTATTGGGGGAAACTGATATACAGCTATAACACTAGCTCTTTTAAGAGCTTCTCAACTTGGATGACTGCTGGATGCTGAGAATACCCCTCGCTCATCGGGAGGAGGACACCCTCTAGCAGTGGGAACCCCTCTACTCACTGGGGTAACCGCTACAATCCCTCCTTTTTATACCTCTATAATCACTGAAGACAGCGTTGATGATATCCTGAGAGGGGGAAAGAACATCCTTAGCGGCGAGACTCGTGTCCTTATCCGAGACGTGAGCTTTGTCTGGGTTTGCCCAAAACATTCATCAGTTACTGGGGTGTCAGGAAAAAGTCCAAACCAAAGAAACATAGTTTGTCTAATGATGTCAGTTTGTTATCTGTGGGGGTGATACCACAATAATACCATATATACATCCAATACAAAGCCCGGCATGTTAGGTAAATTCCTTTTTATTTTTCCATGTTTTGCACAGCCTTCATCCTTGGCATTCTGGTCACATATGGATCCTGCACCAGATGTAGGAAAAACGGACCGGAACCCGTAGCTGACGATTACAATTCTGAATATCAACAAGACGACTACAACAACATCCTGCACTGGACAGACCTAAGAAGCCTGTTCAACGACAACTATAAGGAAGACGAACAGATGGAGGATACGTTAAGGTGACAAATAAAGACACAATGACACAGACAGGGGTCGCTATGAGTATGTCTGTCCCCCCCCTGCAGGGTGACACAGACAGGGAGAGCAATGGGTCTGTCCCTCCCCCTGCAGGATGACACAGTGACACAGACAGGGGGCACTACGATCTGTCCCTCCCCCGGCAGAGTGACACAGACAGGGGGCGCTATGAGTCTGTCCCTCCCCCTGCAGGATGACACAGTGACAGACAGGGGGGCGCTATGAGTCTGTCCCTCCCCCTGCAGGGATGCACAGTGACACAGACAGGGGCCACTACGATCTGTCCCTCCCCTGCAGAGTGACACAGACAGGGGGCGCTATGAGTCTGTCCCCCCTGCAGGGTGACACAGACAGGGAGAGCAATGGGTCTCTCCCTCCCCTGCAGGCAGGGGGCGCTATGAGTCTGTCCCTCCCCCTGCAGGATGACACAGTTACACAGACAGGGGGCGCTATGAATCTGTCCCTCACCCTGCAGGGTGACACAGTGACACGGACAGGGGGCGCTATGAGTCTGTCCCTCCACCTGCAGGGTGACCCAGTGACACAGACAGGGAGCGCTATGAATCTGTCCCTCCCCCTGCAAGGTGACATAGACAGGGGCGCTATGAGACTGTCCCTCCCTCTGCAAGGTGACACAGTGACTGTCCCTCCCCCTGCAAGGTGACATAGACAGGGGCGCTATGAGACTGTCCCTCCCTCTGCAAGGTGACACAGTGAAACAGACAGGGGGCGCTATGACAGGGGGCGCTATGAGTCTGTCCCTCCCCCTGCAGGGTGACAGCGACAAAGAGGGGGTGCTGTGAATCTGTCCATTGCATGATATGGTAATATTGATAAACTAATATCACTTATTCCATAGGAAAGTGAGTAAAGCGACTCATCCTGCTGGGTCAAATGAAAATAAAGAACTTGCTGATTACATTCTACAAAGCTTTAAGAGTTATGGACTGGATCATACGTGGCTAGACACACACTTTGTGGAACTGCACTATCCAAACAGGTAGAACATTGCTCCTCTTTTCCCTTCCCTGTGGATCTGTTCCTATTTCTTGCATTTTTCAGCCATATTCCTTCAGTCCTGCATTTCACTTTTACAATTGACATTGTTCACCTACTGTCATCTCTGCGTTGCGTGCCCTCTTCCTTTCCATACCATGACCCCTTCCATGCTCCCTTCCTACTCAATGACACCTCCTCCCATTTTATGCCCCTTCTTATTTCCCCCTTCCTACTCCATGCCCCCATTCTCCCATTCCAATATCGCCATCCATCGTACAGCTCGTCCTCATTTCATTATCACCATCCATGGTTCAGCTCCTCCTCCTTTCATTATCACCATCCATCTTTTAGCTCCTCCTCATTTCATTATCACCATCCATGGTTCAGCTCCTAATCATTTCATTATCACCATCCATGGTTCTGCTCCTCCTCATTTCATTATCACCATCCATGGTTCAGCTCCTCCTCATTTCATTATCACCATCCATGGTTCTGCTCCTCCTCATTTCATTATCACCATCCATGGTTCTGCTCCTCCTCATTTCATTATCACCATCTATGGTTCAGCGCCTCCTCATTTCAATATCACCATCCATCGTACAGATCCTCATTTCATTATCACCATCCATGGTTCAGCTCCTCCTCATTTCATTATCACCATCCATCTTTTAGCTCCTCCTCATTTCATTATCACCATCCATGGTTCAGCTTCTCCTCATTTCATTATCACCATCCATGGTTCTGCTCCTCCTCATTTCATTATCACCATCCATCTTTTAGCTCCTCCTCATTTCAATATCACCATCCATGGTTCAGCTCCTCCTCATTTCAATATCACCATCCATGGTTCTGCTCCTCCTCATTTCATTATCACCATCTATGGTTCAGCGCCTCCTCATTTCAATATCACCATCCATCGTACAGATCCTCATTTCATTATCACCATCCATGGTTCAGCTCCTCCTCATTTCATTATCACCATCCATCTTTTAGCTCCTCCTCATTTCATTATCACCATCCATGGTTCAGCTCCTCCTCATTTCATTATCACCATCCATGGTTCTGCTCCTCCTCATTTCATTATCACCATCCATCTTTTAGCTCCTCCTCATTTCAATATCACCATCCATGGTTCAGCTCCTCCTCATTTCAATATCACCATCCATGGTTCAGCTCCTCCTCATTTCATTATCACCATCCATGGTTCTGCTCCTCCTCATTTCATTATCACCATCCATGGTTCAGCGCCTCCTCATTTCAATATCACCATCCATCGTACAGATCCTCATTTCATTATCACCATCCATGGTTCAGCTCCTCCTCATTTCCTCATCAGTTTCCAGTTTCTTCACATTTTGTTTACCGTACTTACAGTTCAGGCACCCATTAAATTGCTCAGTGAGTATCAGGATCTGTAAGGATGTATTTTTGCTTTCCATTTTCCTTCTGTTGCTCGTGCCCCACACCACCTTCATTCCTCATTTCAGGAATTTTTTTTCTGTCTCTATATTTAATTTTCATTCCAATCTTATTTTATCTTGTGAAATCCTGCATTTCATCTCCTTCCTTTCATTTCATCCCTTCTTTCTCTCTTCTTCACTGCCTGCATTTCATTTACTTTTCTTCTCCACCTTCATCTATTCTTGTATCTTTTATGCCCTTTTCCTGCATTCTCCTCTCTTTGTTCTCCTGTACATTTCATCTTCTCATTCCTCGTTTCCTTAATTTTGTACTCCACCTTTCTCTTCTGCATTTCAACTCATCTTTTTTATATACCTATGATCATTCTCTTGTTTCTCTTTTACCCAATTTCAAACCTTCCTCTGTGACTCAGAGATGTGTCAGTGGAGGTACAGACCTATTTCCATCTCCAGTAAACCGTGAGTGATAAGGTCCCGAGTGGAAGGGAAATAAAATACAAATAGAGAAACTGATGGATTGCAACAAACAGGGATAGAGGGATATCTGTGCATGTGGAGTATTTATTGAAAGAGGATTGTGTCACGATTAGGGGAACCCAACACGCTGGTACACACACACACACAGAAAAGGTACCGTACCGGACCTTAGAGTGGCCGGGCTAAGCACACACAGAATAGTCAGGAGACAAGCCGAGTAAGGGGAACCAGAAGACAGAATAACGTGAAACGAGCCGAGGTCAAAGGGTAGGAGAAAGTCACAGAGTCAGATAAACAAGCCAGAGAGTACGTAACCAGAAACACAAGGTAAGTAGCAATACAAGTAAGCAAAGACCACAACAGGGCAGGGAGGAACAGGAAAGGTAAGTATTTAAACCATAAGGTTAATTCTGATTGGATAATTTCCAATCAGAATTAACAATCACACGTGGGAGATATCTAAACCTCCCACTGTGATTGAGGCACTGTGCCTTTAACGCCGGGTCAGATGACTGACCCCGGCGTGTAATAATTTGGGCGGTCTCCCAGCGTGCAGCGTCATGTATGCTGCCGCTGGGGACGTGGAGGAAACGGCGGGCGGCATCCAAGGCTGGAAGGATGCCGCTCGCCGAGCCCACGAGGAGGAGGGGACCGCGGACGGCTGGAGGGTGAGTACCGCGAGCGGAGTGCAGCCTCCCTTCGCAGCCGCCCACGGGATCCCGACAGATTGTGGGCAAGGGATTGGATATATCCACGATATGGCTGACTAAAATGGACCGTGTGTTGGAGGACACTGAAAAGAATGAGAATTGTCAGATTTTGCAATTTACATTATGTCATGATTTTATTAATGAAACATAGTATCATATCAATGCTGCATGTCCATGACCAATGGACCCCATAAATTTGCGACATCCAGAAATACTAATTTATAGAAATGATTTTAAAGGAAGAAAATCATTAAGGCTGGAGAAAGAGTTTGTATAATACAAAGCATTTTAGACCCAAAGGAATCCAGCCTAATTATGTTTAAAATATAACCTTTATTAACTGTAGCGGACCTCGGGTAACTCCGCTAATACCTTCCTTCAGCCGCTCAGGAACCACTTAGAATATCGAGAGACTTATTTCCCCCTAGTAGCTGGACGAGACACAGCTCTAGGAGTACAACACAATTTTATTGAGCCACACATGGCTTTTATGCATAGCCCAATGCAAGGGGTCTTCAACACACACAAACAGGGGTCGTATCCCAGGATCCTCTACACCAGGGAGTTCAAGCTCAGGAATGGGGGGGTCGCTATCCCTTTGTCTCCCAAATATGGAAAGCCTGCCACTTAGGCGAGGGGTCTCCCACACAGGTCTTCATCCCAGGAGCCTTTGTGCCTGGGAGCCAAGGTGCGGGAAAAGAGACTCTCAGGTACAGGAAAGCCCACCTAACTAGCCAGTGCTCCAAAAATGTCCCCACCCTCCTCAGGAGACTTCAAATTGCTTATCTGAGTAATCTTCAATCGCGATGTTCCTGTTCAGTTCAGGCACCCATTAAATTGCTCAGTGAGTATCAGTATCTGTAAGGATGCTTTCCATTTTCCTTCTGTTGCTCGTGCCCCACACCACCTTTATTCCTCATTTCAGGAATTTGTTTGTGTTTCGGTCTCTATATATTTTATTTTCATTCCAACCTGCAAGGGAAGAGTCTTCTTTTAGGGTACGAATGCTCCCCCTGGTTGGCGTTCGTCTATACGAAATAACGGCCACCCACAGGAGCACTCGTTAATTACTTCCCTTGCGGTTTCACACTTATGTTGCCAGTGCGAACGTTGCAGTTTCACACTTATGTTGCAAGTGTCTGCTCTCTTTTTCCTCAAAGCTTCTGGAAAGACTTGTCTTTACCCGTATGTCTCACTTCCTCAATTACAACTCTCTCCTTGACCCTCTTCAATCTGGCTTCTGCCCTCTCCACTCTGAGACTGCTCTTATCAAAGTTACTAACGACCTAATCGCAGCTAAATCCAAAGGCCAATACTCCATACTAATTCTTCTTGATCTCTCTGCTACTTTTGACACCGTTGACCATGTTCTCCTTCTTCAAACTCTTCAATCAGTCGGTCTCTGTGACTCTGTCCTCTCGTGGTTTTCCTCTTATGTCTCCCAAAGCTCATTCAGTGTCTTCTTTTCTAATGATACCTCCTCCCCTCGTCCTGTCTCGGTTGGAGTCCCACAAGGCTCTGTCCTTGGTCCCATTCTATTTTCTCTTTATACAGCCTCTCTTATCACCTCATTTGGACTCCATTACCACATGTACACTGATGACACAGATATATATCTCTCCTCCCCAGACCTCTCTCCTGCTGTCCTGCAACGTGTCACTGCTTGCTTTTTTTACATCTCTGACTGGATTATTTTATTATGATATTTATATAGCACCATCAAATTCCGCAGCGCTTTACAATGGGTGGACGAACAGACATGTAGTTGTAACCAGACAAGTTGGACACACAGGAACAGAGGGGTTGAGGGCCCTGCTCAATGAGCTTACATGCTACAGGGAGTGGGGTAAAATGACACAAAAAGGTAAGAATAGTATTAGACTAGTGACAGTTGCAGAAGAGGAATCAGTCAGGAGCTATTAACAGTTCAATTGATACACTTTTATGAAGAAGTGGGTTTTTAACGATTTTTTGAAGGAGTGGAGACTGGGTGAGCATCTAACGGAGGAGGGAAGCAAGTTCCACAGGAACAGTGCAGCCCTTGAGAAATCTTGAAGGCAAGCATCAGAGGTGGGAGTACGGACAGAAGATAGACGTAAGTCTTCAGCAGATCGTAAGGACCTAGATGGGACATACTTCTGTATAAGGGAGGATAGGGAGCAGCATTATGTAGAGATCTGAAAGCAAGAACCAGAATTTTAAATTGAGCTCTATATTTTATAGGAAGCCAATGTAGGGACTGACAGAAGGGTGAGGCATGGGAGGTGCGGGCAGACAGGAAGATGAGCCTCGCCGCCGCATTCATTATGGACTGTAACAGCGCAAGTTGGAAGCACGTAAGACCACTGAGAAGCGGATTACAGTAGTCAAGGCGAGAAAGGACAGTGGAATGGACCAACACCTTAATCGCATCTGGCATTAAGTAGCGGCGGAGGCGCGCAATGTTTTTGAGATGGAAAATGATTTGGCGATAGATTTAACATGAGGCTTGAAGGAGTCAAAGAGAACAATTAGGCATGGAGCCTGCGTGGTGGAGCTGATGGTAGCACCGTTGACTTGGAGGGAGACAGACACAGGAGTAACAACACTTGAGGAAGGAAAGACCAGAATTTCAGTTTTGGTCAAGTTTAGTTTAAGGAAGTGGGCAGCCATCCAGTTAGAAACAGCAGAGAGGCAGTCAGAGACACTAGTCTTCCCACTTTCTGAAACTCAATCTCTCGAAAACTGAGCTCCTTGTCTTTCCTCCTCCTCCTAATACTGATCCTTCTCTTTTGCTCTCCCTTCAAGTTAGTGGTATCCACATAAGTCCATCCTTGCAAGCACGCTGTCTTGGTGTCATACTTGATTCTGGCCTCACCTTTGAGCCTCACATCCAGTATGTTGCCAAATCCTGTATATTCCATCTTAAAAACATAGCCCGCATCCGCCCCTTTCTTACGCAAGATGCTACTAAGGAGCTTGTCCATGCTCTAGTAATTTCCCGCATGGATTATTGTAACCCTCTCCTAATTGGTCTTCCCAAAAGCTGAATTGCCCCTAATTGTCTGTAATGAATGTTGCCAACAGACTGATTTTCCTCTCTAGTCGGTCCTCTCACAGTCCTTACATTGGCTTCCTGTATCCTATAGGAGTCAATTCAAAGTGCTAACCCACACCTATAAAGCACTGAACAATTCTAGCCCCTCTTATATCGGTTCACAGATCCATAGGTATGCCCCTTCTCGGTCTCTCAGCTCTGCCCGTGACCTTCTCCTGTCCGTTGCTCGCATCCGTCCTGCCAACTCACGCTTGCAGGACTTCTCGCGAGTGGCTCCCTTCATATAGAATAGCCTGCCTACCGCCATCAGACTCTCCTCTAGTCTTCAATCAATTAAGAATTGCCTTAAAACCCATCTCTTTAGGAAAGCTTATGGCCTCCCAGAGTAACCTCTACTTCACATGCCTGTCTCTCCTAAAGGGCAGCACTCTACTCTCTCCTCCAGCTCTGCTTCACTCCCAGCTTATTTGATTGCAATTTTCTGTCCTAATATGTTTTATACCCCACCTCCAATAGACTGTAAGCTTGTTTGAGCACCTATCGTTCCTGTAAGTTTTCTTGTAATTGCCCTATTTATAGTTAAATCCCCCCTTTCATAATATTGTAGAGCGCACCATATTTTCCCTCTTTGGTTTTAACCCCTTAAGGACACATGACGTGTGACATGTCATGATTCCCTTTTATTCGAGAAGTTTGGTTCTTAAGGGGTTAAACAGGTATGATCACCATCAAGTGATTTTTATCTTAGAGTCAAGCTTTATCTGCTCGACAAACTATTCCTGAGGCTATAAAATGACACATGTTTAAATTTCAACTTGTATCTCATAGATGTCATTTTATTGAATAGTTAATCAAGGTTATATTTTAAACATAATTAGGCTGGATTCCTTTGAGTCTAAAAAATGCTGTGTACATTCAGAAATAGCCTTCAGTGTATGCACCAGTCCCTGCAATCTATAAGGTGTCTGTAGTGGCAATCTGCTTCTGTATTGAACAGTCCCGATAGATTCCATTTTTGAAATATTGTGGTGGAGACAATTATGCCAGAAATCCTTGGCCAGAATAGCAAGGACTTTAAAAATGTGTGTCCCCTAGATGATTAATGTAGTTTACTGCAGAGCTATTTCCATGCTCAGTAGTATGGAGCTCTGGGAGTCTTTCGGGGGTGGTCCTGTCACTAGGTCACATTATGTTTTAACCTGTGTTGTTCAATATTACCAACAATGTTTTCTTTGCTGCTGAGGGAATTAAAGAAAGAGTGCAGCAATAATACAAGGCTTCATGTCTTAATAAAATTTTAAGCAAACAGTCTTTGTCAAAAATGTAATTTCGCCTTACTGCAGATGTACAGAGCATCACGCCCGTTAGCCCTGCCGATCATTTCTCCTTCACCATACTTGATTCCTGCAAGTTCTTAATACATTTCACTAATTCTGACTACCCTTGTCTGCTTCCAGTAATGTCGCTAATTCTGTGAAAATCATTGACCAAAATAAAACCGTGGAGGAATTTCGAACTGATGATCCTGATGTCTATTGTCCATACAGCGCAACGGGGAAAGTAGTGGTCAGTATCTGCCTCACTGTACATCCCCTACAATCACAATGTGTGTAGACAGATAGACACATACACAGACAGACTAACAGATGAAGAACTAAAGCATACTGGTTTTCTAGAACGAGATTCAAAAAGCAACATCAAAAGAAGATATAAAGATGTATTAACTTTACTAATGTTTTATAATAAAACCCAACGCATACTGACTTTATATAACAGAATCCAACACTAACTGACTTTATTTAATGAGAACCCTACAAATACTGAGTTTATACAACAGAACCCAATGCATACTGACTTTATATACCGTAACAGAACCCAAGGCATAAATAACAGTATACAGATTTAATATAATAAGAATCCAGTGCATATTGACTTTACATAATGAGAACGTGGCGGACCGTCTTGCACCCCGACTGGGTGGTTCCGCCAATTGATGCTTCCTAGTAATCCTTGATTACCATAAGTACCAGACACCATAACCACCGTAGTCCCCACTTCCAGCATTACAGCTTGGTTGGGGTCTCCCTGTCCTCCACCCACCCTGGACCCTAGACCAGGATCCAGTTTCCAGTGGGTAGACCTTTCCTTGTCCAGAGAGTAGAGCAGGGTGCTCGTACAAGAGGAAGTGATTTTAATGCAGGGGAGTATAGTGATATAGCAATCCCCAGAGTAGATACACCATCCCATCATAGCTCCGATCTGGAGGACCAACATATCCAAAAAATTTCCCAGATCTGTTCAGGGGTTCGGGATTTCAATGGAGGTCACAATTTGACAGACCGCACACGAGGCTCCTGCTGAAAAGAGTTCCATGAAATCAGGCTGTGCGGTCGGTCTCTTTCAGGAGTTCACAATACAGTCAAAGTACCGAATGTAGCAGTACGTGGGTACGCTCAGTCAATGTCCTTGCGCTGTCGAGTGTCCGATTATAGTTCCATGCACTCGATGACCAAACACCGCTGTATGCGTTTGCAGCTAAAGATGGCCGCCGCCATGTGTTCACACATACAAACGACGACCACCCAGCTGATCACCCATTAAGTTGCGGTTTAGAGGTGTTACTAGGGGTAATGAGATGCACACTCCACTTACGGAACAGAATAAGAATAAGTACAATCCATCCAGTAAGCCCCATATCCCAAACCATATAAGTCTAAAGGCACGAACAAAGCCTTTCCACAGTCCTGAACCAAGGTCTAATGTCCTGGGGCAAGAGGCTTTATATAACAGAATCCAACGAATACTGACTTTACATAATGAGAACCCAATGCATGCTGACTTTGTATAACATAATTCAGCACGTGCCGACGTTGTATAATGAGAACCCCATGCATTCTGACTTTATATAACAGAACCCAACGCATGCAAAGGTTATGTAATGAGAACCCAACGCATAGTGACTTTATTTAATGAGAACCCAACACATATTGACTTTATATAATAGAAACCAATGCATAGTGGCTTTATATAACAGAATCCAACGCATACTGACTTCATATAAACAGAGCCTAATGCTCTGAGAACCCAACGCATAGTGACTTTATGTAACAGAACCCAATGATTATTGACTTTCTATAATAGAACACAATGATTTTAGACTCTATATAGTTAAAACTGAATAGTTGAGAATCTAGCATGTATAGGGGACTTATACGGAGTTAGGGGAGGGCTAGAATACCATAACCAGGACACATGTCCTTGACAATATCAGTCTCTATCTGTCTGCAGTCAGGCTTGGTGTATGCAAATTATGGCCGCGACGAGGATTTTGCGCATCTGACGTCCCAGAGTGTAAATACGACTGGCCAGCTGGTCATCGTACGGACTGGATTTATCAGCTTTGCTGAAAAGGTGAGACTTTGTGACATGTCAGCACTGGTTTTACTTATTTTGGTACTGTACCCAATCCTTTTTCAGGATTCAACCTGGAGCCATAAGAGTATTGAATTGATTATCGATGGCGATTTTATACAGTATGACTGTTTGTCTCCAGGTGTATAATGCACAGTCTGCAGGAGCCCTGGGAGTCTTAATATATCCAGACACAGAAGAAGATATAGCTGTATACGGACATGTGAGTACCCCCTGCACTACCACAGTACTTCATACATTCACCGAGTATCACCTACTAACCTTGCACTACCAGACCCCTGCAGAGCATCATCTACTAACCCCTACATTACCAGACACCTGCAGAGTATCACCTACTAACCTTGTACTACCAGACCCCTGCAGAGTATCACCTACTAACCCTGCACTACCAGACACCTGCAGAGTATCACCTACTAACCTCTACATTACCAGACACCTGCAGAGCATCACCTACTAATCCCTACATTACCAGACACCTGCAGAGTATCACCTACTAACCCCTACATTACCAGACACCTGCAGAGTAAAAATGTATACATGACACCAGATTCATTCTAGTAATGTAATCTAAATCTGCCTTTTTACAACAGGATTACCCCAGTCGGCTACTTTTCTTACCCCCAAATTGTGTCGCAAACTTATTTATTGAGTTGTCACTACACAGATTACACTTTCACAATAGACAAGGTTCTCCTGCTGCTTTGATAAAGTGTTTCAATCAGGACCTTAGGAGGTCACCCATAGTTCACTGTCATAAAGTCCAATATCACTCTACACTATCACACCTAACAGGAACGCAAAACCCCTTTGTCTCGGGACGTCAAGAAGCGTGACTCTTTATTTGCGACCCACGCATGGTCTACCCTATGTAGATATTCTACCATTTTTATCTATTCATGTTTTCACGCTCACTTACGTTCTTTCTCTACGTTTTCAGTCTATAGGGAATCGACTTCTCTCACGTGAGCTGCTATACGGGTATAGAAGTACCCCACTTGTTCTCCCTAGAGACATTAACTCGACCACCTCATCACTAACAATCAGGAATCTTGGCAGGGACACAACACTATCACTTTTATCATGAATACATACTGGGGAACCATAACACAGCAGCTGATGCTCTCTCTTGTTCTAACCGCAACAGCACATTCAGGGTTTGCAGCCATTTTTGGCGACGAATTGTTCAGAGAGAATTGGCGTATAGAAACAACTCTGCCATCATTTAACAGTACTTCTGCCCTGTTCTAAATATACCCAATAGTGGCAGCAGTTCTAGTGTGGGGCCACCAGTGGAAAGGAAAGACCATAAAATGCTTTAACAAAGGCAGGTTCTCTTCCCTGACAAGAGTCTAGTTAGGAGGCTCACATGGTTAGCAGCAGCACAACATTTCCACCTGATCCACATACCGGGCAAGCACAACACAGCAGCCGATGCCCTTTCTCGTTGCAATCTACAGGTTTTCTTTCAAGAACATCCGAAAGCCCAAACAGATTACCCCTATTCGAGGAATATTTTATAATGATTCCTATGCAAAATCTCCACATATGAGACGAGGCTCTATATTGAGGGTGAAGAGGAACTGATTTTAATGGTGCCACACTTGGCCTTATATGACAATCCCCATGCAATGGGTACGCCCACAAGGACCTGATGGTAGACTGATTTACAACGTCACAGACCAATAACAATAAGGTTACAAGGTACGACACTCCCACACACAGCACACATCCCCTCCCCTCTGCCTGGGAGATAATTAAGATACTGCATTAACTAGACATGTGCAATTCATTCCGGTCTAAATAAAAATTCGGCCGAATTTCAGATAAAATTTGGACATTCGGGTGCTTCTGAATTGCCGAAGTGCCGAAATTACCGAATTTCCGAAGTGTAGTAGTGCCAAAGTTCCGAGGTGTCAAAGTGCCGAAGTACAGTATTGCCTAAGTACTAGTACACTTACCCAGTGAAAGAAGGAGAATGTTACACTGTATACAATTTTAAATAAAAAGTATACAAACATAGCCAGGATTCAGCTGCAACACTTACAACAATCAAGTAACACACATTCATATAAAATGTAAGTTACTTAGCCAGTCAGTGTAATGACAGGAATGAATAAGTAACTCCCTAATTCCCACAGTATTAGGGAGTTATCTACTAAAAGGCTGAAATACCTGAATTGGTCTTTCAGACAAATTTACTAATACTAAGTAAAGATTACTTAGTATTAGTAAATTATGCCCCTACTCGCTATATCGCGAGTAGGGGCTTGTCTATTAAACAGTGAGCAGCCTGTGGCTGTTCACTGTTAAAAAAAAAAAAAAAGTTCCACCCCCATAGCAGTGGGTGGGGGCCCTAAACTAGAATAAGGCGGGGGGGGCTAATGTCCTCCCCCCTGGCCCCCACCCCTGAGCGATGGGTAGGGGCCCTAAGTACAAATTGGGGGGGACCTAATGTCCTCCCTCTGGCCCCCTCCCCTAAACAAGAATAAGGGGGCTGACCTATTGTCCCCCCCCTGAGCGGTGGGTGGGGCCAGGGGGGAGGACAATAGGTCCCCCCCCCAATTTGTATTTAGGGCCCCTACCCATCGCTCAGGGGTGGGGGCCAGGGGGGAGGACATTAGCCCCCCCCGCCTTATTCTAGTTTAGGGCCCCTACCCACTGCTGTAATTTTTACTTATTAGTAAATTTGGCTGAAAGACCAATTCAGGTCTTTGAGCCTTTTGTTAGATAACTCCCTAATACCGTGGGAATTAGGGAGTTATCTACCAAGCCGCTGCAAGAGAAGTCCCGAAATGCCGAAGTTCCGAAGTGCTGAATTGCCGAAGTCCCGGATTTCGGAATGCCGAACCAAGCCGAATATTTTCCCCATGCACATGCCTAGTATTAACACAATTATCTCCAGGCAGAAAAAAAAACACATTTTTATAAAAACCCCAAAGTACCCCCAAAACACATATCCCGATAAATGTTACATCCCCTGATATCCAAAAATCACCCAGATCAGTTTAGGAATTCTATCAAAGTCACATTTTGACCGACTGCACGCATGGTCCCATGCCCAAAACAGTTCCAGAGAATCAGGCTGTGCGGACGGTCTATTTCGGGAATTCAAAATAAAGTCCAAAATACTGAACGTAGCCATTCATGAGTAAAGTGTATGGCTCTCGTTCGTGAGTTTATTCTTACCGAACGCCGTTCGAATAGCTGAACATCCGTGGAAGGTAAGTAGTTAGCGGTGTTTGTGCCGTCGAGTGTCCAATTTGAGTTCCATGCACTCAACGACCAAACACCGCTCATTGTGTTCGCGGCTTAAGATGGCCGCCGTCACGTGTTCGAATGCTGCTTCGGGAGTTCGAAGTTTTACCATATAAGTCATAAAAGGCACGAACAGTGGTTTTAACCAAGGTTTATCACAGGGGCCATAGTCACAGGCTAGGAGGATGGCAAACAGGCCCCTCCAAAAGCCAGTGGCAAGGTTACTTTCACCACGCTCCATTTTGTGTGGGAGTGTCCTGGACCTGAGAGCCAATGTAAGTAAAGTGTGTACTTTTTCATAGTCCCCTGTCAGGTCCAGTGGGGAATGCCCCTGGAATATGTTAGAGTAAACCCCTTGCAGGGTTGCTATACTCATACTCCCTGGGATTATAATCACTAGCTCTTATATGAGCTATTCCTGCTATACTCTCTGGAGTAGGAGTGGTTCACCCACTGGAAGCTAGATCCTGGTGTTGGGTCCAGGGTGGGTGGAGGACGTTGCGGCCCCAATCAAGCTGCGGCAGTTTGTGGGGTCTACGGTGCCGATTGTGTCTAGTGGAGTGCTTGGAGTCTCCAGTGAGCACTAGGAGCATCGATTGGCGGAGGCACCCAGTCGGGTGCCAGCGGTCCGTCACACATGGTAATAATCCCTACCCTGTGCCTGAGAGATAATTGAGTCAGGAACTGTACTAAACTCAATTATCACCTGGCACAGAAAATATACATTTTAGCAATCTCCCAAAAGTTCCCCAAAAACACATGGAAACCCCACAAAAGTCACATCCCTTGATAGCCCCGATCTGGGGGACCAACATATCCAAACATCACCCAGATCGGTTCAGGGGTTTGGAATTTCCATGGAGGTCATAATTTGACTGACAGCACACGAGGCTCCTGCCCAAAAGACTTCCATGAAATCAGGCTGTACAGGTCAATGGAGATGTTTGTGTGTATGCTGGCCCGGTGTCCCTCGTTCGGGAGTGTGTTCCCACTGAAATCCGCTCTTCTCACACGAACGCCACCGAACATACTTGGAGAGGGAAGTCCCAGCGGTGTTCACGCCTTCGAGTGTCCGATTTGGGTTTTATACACTCGATGGCCAAATACCACTATACGCGTTCGCGAGAACAAGATGGCCGCCACCTCGTATTCATCCATACGAACGGCGGCCACCCAGCTGACCATTTAGAATGTTGCAGTTAAAGGTTGTTGTGACGAGACCAATCTCGCCACATTGCATTGGAGAAGCCTGGTTGCTCGCCTGTTGCCTTTGGATTATGGCACCATGTTAAAAGGCTTGATTTTCCCCTGCAAAGACACGAAAGCCGGGTAATTTGGTGCTTGCCCTGTTTGAGCGGTGATACCCCAGATAGCTATGCCATGGAGCCCGTTCGTATAATGAAAGACTATGGGAAAGACTGTGGCTCCATGGCAATTGAACTGTATGTGTGTGCTCTGAGCACCATTCAGTAATAATGTGCGCTCAGATCTGAGCTATCTGGGAAAATGTTGAATGTACCTGTTTTGTGCAATGGCTGCACAGTTATGTTTTTATGTGTTTTTTATTGTCTTTTGCTGCCATGTGTTTAATGGAGTTTTGCCCCTGTACTTGGAGATAATTGGATTACTTCCCAATTATCTCCAGGATAGAAAACTCTGTGGAACTGGTTTTGGGCAGAAAAGCCATGCTTCCTTTGGTCACAAAGGACTACGATCTATTTTTTGAACCACTGGACCAATTTGTATGATTTTGACGTATGTTTGTATTTGGAGTATGCTGAAAATGTAAGTTTTATGTGAATGTGATGCATACTTTTCAAGTTATGAATAATGTGGAAAAATTGTATTTATCTGCTTGTTATAATTACATTACCCATTGTGTAAGGTGATTGAATCACAGGCAGAGGAGAGGATTTTGTGTGGGAGTGTCTGAGTGTATTGTATGTGTTTATTGGTTGTGTTCCAAAACCCTGTGGGTGGTACTAATGTGTGTGTATATAAGGACAATAAACCCACAGCTCTGGCTGTTCACTGCTTGACCCTCAACACGGAGCTTTGTCTCGTTCTTGGGGGGATTTATTGTATGCTGTTCCAGTTCGACTGCTAGGAGTGTAAACCTATTCGTATGGTTTTTCCTATTTGGCTGTTTACAGCATTCATACGGTTTCCTGTTCGGCGGATTGGTGTTCTGCAGTAGCTGTTCCTGTGTCTCTGGAAGGGAAGATCTACTAAATGGCGGTTTAACCCTTTTATGCCTGGGGGTGCCGTTACACTTGTTAACGAGGTCAATAGGGTTAACAACACACTCCACATCCAGGTGGCCTCTATGTTCGGTAGTCTGTTCAGCACAAGAACACAGCAAACAAAATGCATTCGGTAGATCCCATACACCTAACCAGACAAGTGAAAAGGCAAGAACTAAGCCTTTCCACAGTCCTGAACCAAGGTCTTACACCTGGACCATAGTCCTGGGGCAAAAGGCTGGCTAGCAGGCCCCTCTAGAAGCCCGTGGCGAGGTTCTGTTCGCCACAGTGAGTGTCTCAAATTAGAGAGTATGTCTGTCAGTCAAATCAGTGAGATTGTGTGTCTGTCAGTGAGTGTGCTTCAAATGAGTGAGATTGTGTATAAATGATAGGTGTCCCAGAAAACATGGTGGATCCTTATATATAAAAGCAATACACATTAACCCTTTCATTAACAGAGCTCTACTTTCACTCTATTATAGTTGGACCCTAACCCATATGACTTGTTAACCTCTGTCTTGCTGGATTTCTTTTCTCGTCACAGGTTCATCGTGGAACTGGAGACCCAAGCACCCCTGGATTCCCATCCTTCAATCATACCCAGTTCCCCAACTTCGAGTCCTCAGGGCTTCCAAAAATTCTAGCTCAGCCCATTAGTACGGCCACTGCACGGAAGCTACTTGGGTATGTTAACCATGGGATAATGACTAGCAGCCACGTGGCATAGACTGGCCTGCATACACTGGTGGCTAACATCAGTGAGCACTAATGATGTGATAGACAATGATTTACTAAGCTTCTGTGTGATGGTGAGATACTCTGCTGTATCTGGCTGTGTGATGGTGAGATGCTCTGCTGTATCTGGCTGTGTAATGGTGAGATACTCTGCTGTATCTGGCTGTGTAATGGTGAGATGCTCTGCTGTATCTGGCTGTGTAATGGTGAGATGCTCTGCTGTATCTGGCTGTGTAATGGTGAGATGCTCTGCTGTATCTGGCTGTGTAATGGTGAGATACTCTGCTGTATCTGGCTGTGTAATGGTGAGATGCTCTGCTGTATCTGGCTGTGTAATGGTGAGATGCTCTGCTGTATCTGGCTGTGTAATGGTGAGATGCTCTGCTGTATCTGGCTGCTCTGCTGTATCTGGCTGTGTAATGGTGAGATGCTCTGCTGTATCTGGCTGTGTAATGGTGAGATGCTCTGCTGTATCTGGCTGTGTAATGGTGAGATGCTCTGCTGTATCTGGCTGTGTAATGGTGAGATACTCTGCTGTATCTGGCTGTGTAATGGTGAGCTACTCTGCTGTATCTGGCTGTGTAATGGTGAGAGAATAAAAGAAATGTGTAATAGTGTGTTCTCTCTCTAGTATATAAGCAAAAGGCATATTAAAATATACTGAAATTCAATTATATAAAGCCATTAAAAAAAAACAAAAAACTTTGTTAGGAAGTAGTGACAACGAGGCCTGCCTTACAGTGTGTGTGTGTGTGTGTAGGGGGAGGAGGGGAGGGGGTACTCCTTGCACCATAATCACTGCATTGTACTGTTATGTTATTTGGAGTGTTCCTTTAACATGTAGTCTTTGCCACAGGGTTTCTAAGTGGTTTTCCTCCTTTTGGAAGGTCCTACTGGGGCGTACCAATTATGGTAACCCTGCTGTCTCCTTCTTGCAGTAAAATCGCAGGTTTAAAGGCCCCCCAAGATTGGATCCATCCATCATTCTCTGGAAATGGTCTGGGGCCCATCCTAGAAAACCCTCAGCACAGAGTGAGCCTTGAAGTGGGCAATGTGCGGCAGAGTGTGGAGCTGCTTAACGTTTTTGGAAGTATCACTGGGCGTATTGAGCCGGGTAAGAGTGAACAATATCTCCCAAACTCATATTATCCCCGAAAGTAAAGAACAGATTGTGATTAGCATCCTCCTTCATTCTTACAGAGCACTATATTGTGGTGGGAGCTCAGCGAGATTCCTGGGGTCCAGGCGCTGCCAAGTCAGCAGTGGGTACTGCCATCCTAATTGAACTGGCACGGACAATGGCATATATGGTGCGGGGAGGTGAGTACTTTAGATGCCAGTGAGAGCTGTGTGGGGGGTAAGTACAGGAATAGCAGAGAGGGCTGCAGGGCAGGATGGAGGTGCAGTGACAGAGCTGTGTGTGGGGTCAGTACAGGAATAGCAGAGAGTGCTGCAGGGCAGGATGGAGGGGCAGTGACAGAGCTGTGTGTGGGGTCAGTACAGGAATAGCAGAGAGAGCTGCAGGGCAGGATGGAGGTGCAGTGACAGAGCTGTGTGTGGGGTCAGTACAGGAATAGCAGAGAGAGCTGCAGGGCAGGATGGAGGTGTAGTGACAGAGCTGTGTGTGGGTCAGTACAGGAATGGCAGAGGGCAGGATGGAGGTGAAGTTACAGAGCTTTGAAGGCTGGACACAGCTGTGGTACGTGAGAGAGTGATGTGTAATTACTGTATTTCAGGTTTCCAGCCTCAGAGAAGCGTCCTGTTTGTAAGCTGGGATGCGGGAGATTTTGGAAGTGTTGGCGCCACCGAATGGTTAGAGGTAACACGGTCCCTTTGTCCCATTAATATTACAGTAACACAGTGCACAGTAACATATTAAATTGTAATTGTATCCCATGACTGCCTTTGTTTCGTTCAGCTTTAATTGTCACAATAACAATTTTAAAAAAACAGACCGTAATGGAGCTCCCGTACAGCGACTGAGTACCCCCAGTCGCAGTAGCTTGACTAGGGTCTCCAAGGAGTTCTTCTAACTTACCAAGCTGCAGCTCCAAGGAGTTCTTCTAACTTACCAGGCTGCAGCTCCAAGGAGTTCTTCTAACTTCCAATCAGATTCTCTACCTTTTCTTTCCCAGGCAGGAATCCACACCTTGGCCATCACTTTACAAAGCACTTGTGGCTCTCAGGCATAGATTTCTTCTCCTGAGCTACAGGAACGAAGCATCTAGGCAACAGGTGTGAAGACTGTTACTTGGATTCCTGAACAGATCAAAACAGGACACACAGTCCTAAAAGAACTGACACGCAAAGCTTTAGTTTTACACAGGACTAGCCCATAGCTGCATTACATTAAACTTACTGTGACAGCCTCCATATAATACAAATAACCAAATCATATGAGGTAACATACAGGATCTCATAACAACACACTAACATATTTCTTAAGGGGTTGGGAAAACAATAACTAAAAAGAAATCTCTCCTACCTGCAGAATCCATAATATGCAAATCTACCTGAATATGCAAATTACTAAGTCTTGCTATTCAGGTAGTGCACATAACAGTTGCTACCAACAGGTGGCGTTGTTAAGGCTCCAAAGCCAAATCCACCTAGTTGGTAGAAAGCATCAATAGGACAGGAGAGCACACAAAACATTTAATAATAAACAACACATTATACACACCCTGAACCTATAATGGGAACAGGGTGACTAAAACATAAGAATAGTCCATGGATCTACATACAGTGTCCATCTCATGCTCCTGGGTGATGGGGACTACAATCACACAGATGTTGGTAAATTTGTTCCCTACATGGTGGATCAATGCTTATTCGAGTTTATTACTAACTCCGTAGTTAAAACTGTCAGTTCGAAAAGTCTGCTCTTCGGCTTAGCTCTGCTAGTTTTGTGGAAATAGCAAGATAAAACATACCAGGAAAGGTTAAAGGATCTTAACATGTCTAGCTTGGAGGAAAGACGAGACAGGGGGGATATGATAGAAACATTTAAATATATAAAGGGAATCAACACAGTAAAGGAGGAGACTATATTTAAAAGAAGAAAAACTACCACAACAAGAGGACATAGTCTTAAATTAGAGGGACAAAAGGTTTAAAAATAATATCAGGAAGTATTACTTTACTGAGAGGGTAGTGGATGCATGAAATAGCCTTCCAGCTGAAGTGGTAGAGGTTAACACAGTAAAGGAGTTTAAGCATGCGTGGGATAGGCATAAGGCTATCCTAACTATAAGATAAGGCCAGGGACTAATGAAAGTTTTTAGAAAATTGGGCAGACTAGATGGGCCGAATGGTTCTTATCTGCCGTCACATTCTATGTTTTTATGAGTCCTTATTCAACTCACATAAATGAACAGAACTCTTGGAAAAAAAGATTGAGACAAGAAAACAATATATGAAGACAGAGGAAAAAGACTCCAAATTAATATGCTGAGAAAAGGCAAGTCCGAGAGGGAGATAAATCTGTGCCGGACAGGATGAGGAAAATACAGAAAGGAAGTAATGAGACCGTGGCGGACTGAGCACTCGGGCACTTCAGTCATGGACTGAGGCTCTTGGGGGCCCGCCTGCCAGTAGTATTGTAATGGCTCAGCTGAGGAGCTCAACAAGCTGCCCAGCCAGCCTGAACTCAGTGAGGGTCCGCACGACCTTCTGTTATTAAAGAAGTCCCCCCATTGGTCGGCCAGTGCAGAGAGCTTGTAGCACACTGAGAGACAGCCCAGGGGCCTTATCAAAGACCCTCCAGGCTGCCTTTCACTGTGCCTGTCTAGTGCAGCATGTGGGCACCAGGAGCAGAGCCCCTGCCGTGAGACGAGCACAGCGCACAGCCTGACCCCACTGCAGTTCCATGGCCGGCCAGAGAGGGAGCTCTTCGGGAAACTTGCATGGCGAGGATGAGGTGGTACTGCCTGCACCCAGGCTTATAGGGGTGCAAACAAGCGTATTCTGCCACCGGACCACCGGCATAAGGTTTCCCCCCTCCATGGACAAAGGTAAGGCTCAGGAAGGGGGAACACATTATTTAACTTTTTTTTTTTCACAGCTCTTATCTTTCCACCCACTACAACCTTCATCACCCCCTACTCCATCACCCACTACACCCCTCCATCACTCCTACACCATTTATCACCCCTACACTCCTGCATCACCCCCTTCACCCCTTATTCACCCCCTACATCCCACATCACCCCCTACACCCCTCCATCACCCCTACACCATTTATCAATCACCCAGTACACCCCTCCATCACCCACTACACCCCTCCATCACCCACTACACTATTTATCACACTCCTACATCCACTCCCTTCACCCCTTATTCACCCCTACACCCCGCATCACCCACTACACTCCATCACCCCCTACACTCCTCCATCACCCCCACACCATGTATCAATCACCCCCTACACCCCTCAATCACCCCCTACACTCCTGCATCACTTCCTACACTCCTGCATCACCCCCTACACCATATATCACCCCCTACACCCCTTCATCACCCCCTACACATTACATTAAAACACCTACAGGGACTGGCTATACACACCAGAACAACTACATTAACCTGTAGTTGTTCTGGTGACTATAGTGTCCCTTTAAGGTGGCTAGTAACCTTTAGCACATGATTTGTAAGTCAAGGCCCAAAATTCAGAGACATTGCCATTTTTCACAAATACTCCCTTATACATATTGCCATGCTACACACACACACACATAAATACTACACTATGTAAAAGAAAAAACAAAAAAAGACATGTATTTAAACATACTCTGAATCCACGGATCCTGATACTACACACAAAAATATACATATATTAACCAGGACTCACAGCAACTATACACACAAAAGCATACATTCAATTTACATGTACATATAATCAAATACACAGCACATCTACACCATCATGTATACTAGCATATATATTGGTCTGCAATGGGCCCAGGTCCTAAGTTTCCCGAGGGCCTGAGGCACTGTGAGTCCGTCCCTGGTGGCGGAAGAAGGTGTGGCGCAAACAGACTAGTGCTAAGCTAGATCAGTATTAGCATGTAGGGTAAGGTGAAACTTGACCAGGAGACTCTGGGAGACGGAGGGAAAGAGGGGAAATGCTCGTGAAAGTGGAGATTTGTGGAATCTGTTAGTAGAAGATAAATGAGTGTGTTAACCAGGAAAAGAAGAAACTGTGGGGAAACATAATGCAGTGTGTGATGGAGAGAGTAGTTAGAACTGTCTAAGCATCACACCCAACTCTGGGAGTGTGCCAGGACCCAGGTAAGCTATTAAGCTGCTCACTCTGGGAGTGTGCCAGGACCCAAGGTAAGTTATTAAGCTGCTCACTCTGGGAGTGTGCCAGGACCCAGGTAAGTTATTAAGCTGCTCACTCTGGGAGTGTGCCAGGACCCAGGTAAGTTATTAAGCTGCTCACTCTGGTTATGTGCCAGGACACAGGTAAGTTATTAAGCTGCTCACTCTGGGAATGTGCCAGGACACAGGTAAGTTATTAAGCTGCTCACTCTGGGAGTGTGCTAGGACCCAGGTAAGTTATTAAGCTGCTCACTCTGGGAGTGTGCCAGGACCCAGGTAAGTTATTAAGCTGCTCACTCTGGGAATGTGCCAGGACACAGGTAAGTTATTAAGCTGCTCACTCTGGGAGTGTGCCAGGACCCAGGTAAGTTATTAAGCTGCTCACTCTGGGAATGTGCCAGGACCCAGGTAAGTTATTAAGCTGCTCACTCTGGGAGTGTGCCAGGACCCAGGTAAGTTATTAAGCTGCTCACTCTGGGAGTGTGCCAGGACCCAGGTAAGTTATTAAGCTGCTCACTCTGGGAGTGTGCCAGGACCCAGGTACTTTATTAAGCTGCTCACTCTGGGAGTGTGCCAGGACCCAGGTACGTTATTAAGCTGCTCACTCTGGGAGTGTGCCAGGACCCAGGTAAGTTATTAAGCTGCTCACTCTGGGAATGTGCCAGGACCCAGGTAAGTTATTAAGCTGCTCATTCTGGGAGTGTGCCAGGACCCAGGTAAGTTATTAAGCTCTGGGAGTGTGCCAGGACCCAGGTAAGTTAGCTAAGGGAGTATGTGGAGCATAGCAATCCCTTGTAGTGATATAGCAATTCCCCCAATAAGAGACAGGACTTTAGATTGAGGGTGAAGAAGAACTGTCTGTACTAGCACATACAGCCTCTTTTAATCACATTCTACAAACATAGTACTGCCCACAGGGTTTTGAAGAACAACCAATCAACACCTTACAACACAGCTAACACTCCCATTCGTTACATCAGCAATCCTCCCCTCTGCCTGTGATACTATTATCTCAACACAATAGACTAACTTAATTATCACAGGCGGGAAAATACAGTATTATAAAACATATCACAGGGACCCCAAAACATGCAATAAACCCATAAAAATATCATCGGAACCGGGGGGATCTGGGTGAACCACATATCCAAAATTCACCCAGATCCGTTCAGTAGTTTGGAAGATACAGTTTAATGCAGATTCCGCAGAACATATACAGGCTATATGAAAAATAATTACTGTATAATGTGTCCCCTGTTGTATAGTTTAAAACTACTGAACGATGTCTTTGTGCACCAAATACCGGCGAGATGGCACCGTGTAGAAAAGTCAAACAGTGTCTGTGAGTTAAAATGGCCGCCATCCATTGTTCTCACCATGTGCTTCATCCATTGTTCTCACCATGTGCCTCTGATACATGAAATGGTGGTCACCCAGTAACTCCACAGTATGTCCCCAGATGGTTCTTAAAGGGCCAGCAGCAGCATAATAAAATCAAGTATGCCCACATCAGTTCCTAGAAGGGCAATACATCCCAGGGCCATAGTCGCAGGGCAGGAGGCCCCTCCAAAAACCAGTGGCGAGGTTACTTTCGCCACACAAAGTATTGTGGTATTTAATATGCAGGGCACTGTAAAATATAGTAAGTAGGATATTTTGGGATATAATAATTAATATGCAGAGTATTGTGGTATTTAATATGCAGGGCACTGTAAAATATAGTAAGTAGGATATTTTGGGATATAATAATTAATATGCAGAGTATTGTGGTATTTAATATGCAGGGTACTGTAAGATATAATAAGTAAGGTATTGTGGGATATCATTGTTAATATGCAGTTTATTGTTGGATATAACAAGTAAGGTATTGTGAAATATAATATGCAGGGTATTGTGGGATATAATAAGTAGGGTATTGTGGGATATAATAAGTAGGGTATTGTGGGATATAATAAGTAGGGTATTGTGGGATTTAATATGCAGGTTATTGTGGGATTTAATATGCAGGGTATTGTGGGATATAATATGCAGGGTATTGTGGGATATAATATGCAGAGTATTGTGGGATATAATAAGTAGGGTGTTGTGGGATATAATATGCAGGATATTGTGGGATATAATATGCAGGATATTGTGGGATATAATATGCAGGGTATTGTGGGATATAATATGCAGGGTATTGTGGGATATAATATGCAGGGTATTGTGGGATATAATAAGTAGGGTGTTGTGGGATATAATATGCAGAGTATTGTGGGATATAATAAGTAGGGTGTTGTGGGATATAATATGCAGGATATTGTGGGATATAATATGCAGGATATTGTGGGATATAATATGCAGGGTATTGTGGGATATAATATGCAGGGTATTGTGGGATATAATATGCAGGGTATTGTGGGATATAATAAGTAGGGTGTTGTGGGATATAATATGCAGGATATTGTGGGATATAATGTGATAAAATAAGTAGGGTGTTGATTTGAAGAGAAATGTGAATATTTTAAATAAAATGCATTTTCCTTGTTTTGTGCTTCTTACTAGGGCTTTTAGATGGTTTTATTTTCTTCTTTCACAAAAATGTGGAAATACTTTTTCAAACCGTTCTATGTGTTTGTATATCTGACTGTCTGTCTGATCTCTATATCTTTAATTTAATATTTATTCTGCACATACCATGTATATGAGCTCGTGACAGAGCCGTCAGTTCAGTTTCTTTATTGTTTTGTTTCAGGGTTACCTTAGCATGCTGCATCTGAAGGCTGCGGCCTATATCTGCCTGGACACGCCTGTGTTGGGTAATAATGAATATTATACTAGAGTAAAATATTTTACTACTCACTAACCTGTCTAATACAATTAACCAATCCACTGCCCACTAACTAGGCTAGCACCTTAGCAACCATTAGCCAGTCTAATACAACTAACCAATCCAACACACACTAACTAGACTAGAACCCACTAATCAGTCCACGTCAACTAGTCAATTTAATGCACACTAACTAGGCTAGCACCCATTAACCAGCTTACTACAACTTACCAATCACTCGAACACTAACTAGGCTAGCACCCACTAACCAGACTACTACAATTAACCATTTTAACCAGTCCACTTCAACTAACCAATCCAGTGCACACTAACTAGGCTAGCACATTAACACATATTAACCAGCCTACTACAACTTACCAATCACTAGAACATTAACTAGGTTAGCACCCATTAACCAGCTTACTACAACTTACCAATCACTCGAACACTAACTAGGCTAGCACCCACTAACCAGACTACTACAATTAACCATTTTAACCAGTCCACTTCAACTAACCAATCCAGTGCACACTAACTAGGCTAGCACATTAATACCTATTAACCAGCCTACTACAACTTACCAATCACTAGAACATTAACTAGGTTAGCACCCATTAACCAGAATACTACAATTAACCAATTTAACCAGTCCACTTCAACTAACCAATGTAATGCACACTAACTATGCTAGCACCTTAACCCCTAATTAACCGGTCTTCTACAACTTACCAATCACTAACACACCAACTAGACTAGCACCCACTAATTAGTCCACTTCGTCTTGTCAATCTTATACCACCCTAGCTAAGCACACCAGTCCAACAAACTCAGCCCAGTCCAGAGACGTTAACTATGGCTACATATTTCACATTTAATAAAATGTTTCTATTTCAGGAGATGAAAAGTTTAGAGTTAAATCCAGCCCCATGTTCAAAAGTTTAATGGAATTTGTGATAAAACAGGTGAGTGAAGAAAGAGGTAGCAACCTCTATCTCTTATCCACGAATCGCTGTCAGGTTGGATTAGAGATTGCTTGACTGTTTTGTAAAATAGCGGTAACAGGGTTTGAGTGTTTGGACTAGAAATCAGAAAGAATTGAATGAAATGAACTCAACAGTGTTAGCCTCCAGGTAAATACACCCGGAAACCTCTCAGTGTTAGCCTCCAGGTAAATATACCCAGACACTCTCAGTGTTAGCCTCCAGGTAAATATACCCAGACACTCTCAGTGTTAGCCTCCAGGTAAATACACCCGGAAACTCTCAGTGTTAGCCTCCAGGTAAATACACCCGGAAACCTCTCAGTGTTAGCCTCCAGGTAAATATACCCAGACACTCTCAGTGTTAGCCTCCAGGTAAATATACCCAGACACTCTCAGTGTTAGCCTCCAGGTAAATATACCCAGACACTCTCAGTGTTAGCCTCCAGGTAAATATACCCAGACACTCTCAGTGTTAGCCTCCAGGTAAATATACCCAGACACTCTCAGTGTTAGCCTCCAGGTAAATACACCCGGAAACCTCTCAGTGTTAGCTTCCAGGTAAATATACCCAGACACTCTCAGTGTTAGCCTCCAGGTAAATACACCCAAACCTCTCAGTGTTAGCCTCCAGGTAAATACATGCTACCCAGACACTCTCAGGCAAGTACCCAGGTAAATACACACCGAAAACTCTCAAAGAAGCTTCCAGGTAGATATATACCCAGACACTCAGTGTTAGCCTCCAGGTAAACAGTACCCACTCTAGTGTGTTAGCCTCCAGGTAAATTTATACCCAGACACTCTGTTAGCCTCAGGTAAATATACCCAGACACTCTCAGTGTTAGCCTCCAGGTAAATATACCCAGACACTCTCAGTGTTAGCCTCCAGGTAAATACACCCGGAAACCTCTCAGTGTTAGCTTCCAGGTAAATATACCCAGACACTCTCAGTGTTAGCCTCCAGGTAAATATACCCAGACACTCTCAGTGTTAGCCTCCAGGTAAATATACCCAGACACTCTCAGTGTTAGCCTCCAGGTAAATACACCCGGAAACCTCTCAGTGTTAGCCTCCAGGTAAATACACCCGGAAACCTCTCAGTGTTAGCCTCCAGGTAAATATACCCAGACACTCTCAGTGTTAGCTTCCAGGTAAATATACCCAGACACTCTCAGTGTTAGCCTCCAGGTAAATATATCCAGACACTCTGTGTTAGCCTCCAGGTAAATATACCCAGACACTCTCAGTGTTAGCCTCCAGGTAAATATACCCAGACACTCTCAGTGTTAGCCTCCAGGTAAATACACCCGGAAACCTCTCAGTGTTAGCCTCCAGGTAAATATACCCAGACACTCTCAGTGTTAGCCTCCAGGTAAATACACCCGGAAACCTCTCAGTGTTAGCCTCCAGGTAAATACACCCGGAAACCTCTCAGTGTTAGCCTCCAGGTAAATATACCCAGACACTCTCAGTGTTAGCTTCCAGGTAAATACACCCGGAAACCTCTCAGTGTTAGCTTCCAGGTAAATATACCCAGACTCTCAGTGTTAGCTTCCAGGTAAATATACCCAGACACTCTCAGTGTTAGCCTCCAGGTAAATATACCCAGACACTCTCAGTGTTAGCTTCCAGGTAAATACACCCGTCTCAGTGTTAGCCTCCAGGTAAATATACCCAGACACTCTCAGTGTTAGCCTCCAGGTAAATATACCCAGACACTCTCAGTGTTAGTGTAGCCGAGCTGCAATATTAAATCCCAATATCTCCGCTGGTAGAATAAAGTAATCCAAGAGAAGCGCCGAATGAAGGCAATATCCCAAATCCCCCAGTAACTGGATGAAACACAGTTCTGGGAGTCAAGTGAGGCTTTATTAAAAAGTCACCAAATTTATACGGTTGTCCCTGCACAGGGTTTCCAGACTGGGACAGCAGGGGTTTTACTCAAGGGGACTGTGTGGGAAACTGACCATGCAAGGTAGTTTCCCAGCATCCCCTGCTGTACAGGGACAATAATGACATCATCAAGCACAGATAATTATGTTAACCGTTGGTACAGTGAAATCTAGTATTTTACATTAAAATATATATCTTCGGTCATTTCCAACATATTTCCATGAATGACCCCTCATTAGATTGCAGGGATCTGAATGAACAATCTCACGAATTGCCGCTCAGATCCCTGCAAAAATAGGCGAACGACACACAGAAAACCATTGTTCGTGAACCGGGTCTAGAAAGGTAAAAAACTCACGAACGGCTTTAATTCACCGAAGGAGCGAGTTTCCCGAATGCTATGGAAGTCCAGTGGTGTTTGGAAATCAATTAGCCGATTTGAGTTCCAGGCACTCGACGACCAAACACCGCTGAACTCTTAGCGAACAAAGATGGCCGGGTATGCACATGCATACTCCTGGAACCCATCCAATAGCCGATCTACCATCCTTTGAAAAATAGCCGGAGCGTTTTTCATCCCGAATGGCATGACTCGAAACTGGTACAGGCCAAACGGGGTGACAAACGCCGACTTGGGGATGGCATCCTCGGCTAAAGAAATCTGCCAGTACCCCTTGCACAAGTCAATCGTAGTGAGGTACTGGCCTTGTGCCATCTTATCTAGCAGCTCGTCTATCCGGGGCATCTGGTAGGCATCAGACACTGTTTTGTCATTTAGCCTCCAGTAGTCAACACAAATGTGTCGTGCCATCCTTCTTGGGTACTACGACTACCGGCGATGCCCAGTGGCTATCGGAATGTTCAATAACCCCTAGCTGCAACATCTCTTCAATCTCCTTCCGCATATGTTCCCTGACTGCTTCAGGGATACGATATGGGGTCTGGCGCATCAGTAGCTGTCCTGGGGTCTCTACCCGGTGAGTGGCCAGCGGAGTGTACCCTGGTAAATTGGAGAAAGTGGCTCCCTTAGCCGCAATTAACTCCTGTACCTGGGCACGCTCCTAAGGACTTAGCCGCTCCCCCAGCTGAACACCCGTGGAGTGCTCTGCCTGTTCTTCTCGCTCTAATAGCGGAAGATTCTCCTGATCCTCAGTGGCTGATGCGCATATAGCTGCCACGTGGAAAAGACTTTCATTAGGGCTTCTGCTACCGTCTCTGCGTGAATATTAGAGAGGGCTACTGCCTCGGGGTACCTGGTGGCGTAATCCACCACGGTCAAGATGTACTTTTTGCCGGATGGACTGGGTTTGGGTAGGGGTCCTACTATGTCTACTGCCACCCTACTAAACGGCTCTACTATAATGGGTAGCAGGCATAATTTGGCCTTGTGCCGGTCACCTCTTTTGCCTACTCTCTGACAGATATCACACGTCTGATAATACTGCCTAACATCTTTAGATATACCTGGCCAAAAGAATGCATGGGTCAGTCGGTATCTAGTTCGGGTCATACCTAGATGCCCTGACAACAGAATATCATGAGCAATCCTAAGGAGTTCCTGTCGGTATTTCTGAGGTACTACCAGCTGTTTAGTAGTAACATTTACATATCCCCCCACCACCCTTTCAGCAATACGGTATAATAACCCCTTTTCCCAGGCATACCGCTCACCCTCTAATCCTGCCTGATCAGAGGTCACCCTATCTTGATATACCTTCAATGTAGGGTCTACCTTAACCTCTGTCCCAAATTCAGTTGGGGTATCCCAGGGAACATGAGTTATAGGGGGTGCATTGTCTCTTACCTGAGCCTCAGAGTGAATTAATGAAGCCGTGGTGCGAGCCTGTTGCCTTGTGGTTACAGGATGTGCCCCTTGGAGATGTGCCCCTACGGTATAATAACCCCTTTTCCCAGGCATACCGCTCACCCTCTAATCCTGCCTGATCAGAGGTCACCCTATCTTGATATACCTTCAATGTAGGGTCTACCTTAACCTCTGTCCCAAATTCAGTTGGGGTATCCCAGGGAACATGAGTTATAGGGGGTGCATTGTCTCTTACCTGAGCCTCAGAGTGAATTAATGAAGCCGTGGTGCGAGCCTGTTGCCTTGTGGTTACAGGATGTGCCCCTTGGAGAGGGGCTTGAGGTACAATAGCAGAAGTCATTCTGCCTAGGTCGTTCCCCAATAAAACATCTGCAGGCAGTTTTTGCATCAGGCCCACCTCCACCATACCGTTCCCCACACCCCAATTCAAGTGTACTTTGGCCGTTGGCAATCGGTACATTGCTCCCCCTGCTACCCAGACTGCCACGGATCCGCCTGTGTGCCGAGCCTGGAACCAGATGAGGGGCTACTAGGGTCAGAGTGGCCCCCGAGTCTCGGAGTCCTTGCACTTCTTTCCTCTCCAAGGTTACCATCTGGCGATGAGGATGCCGATTGTCTGTAGCCTATATAGACATCACGTCATGTAGTACTCCCAGGGGCTCTTCCGTGTGCTTAAACATTAGCTCCTGGGGTGCTGACTCTGCCTGGTAGTGATAAGCGGCAGCTCGTGGCACTGGGTTTTGCCTTACTTGGCTCCAGGCTTGACAACTCCGGTTTTGGGTACACTCTCTCACCATTGTTTGCAGGTATGGCACTGAATGTTGGACCGGCCATTGTATCGAGACGGTGGGGGTTGTCTCCCAGTCGCTGTCCGTAGGAATGTTGTTGTGGGTACGGTGGTAGCAGCTGTAAGTGGCTGAGTGGTGGGTCGAGTATACCCTCGGTTGGGGTTGCCATGATGCCTCCTAGGGTCATAGTGCTGGTCTGCCAGCCATGCAGCTTCTGTTAGGGTGAGGAGTTTTCTCTCACCCATTCTTGTGCCTCTGGTGTCAGACAGTTGAAAAACTGCTCCAACAATAGCAGCTGGCGTAACTCCTCCATGGTGGTAGCTTGACTAGCTTGTATCCACCCCCGGTATGCCTCCGGGGTAATGGCATATCTCTCCAATATGGCCTGTTTTACCTTGGCATCATTTTTGCTGTCCTCTCTGGGCATGGCCCGGTATGCTTCTGCTGCCCGACCAGATAATTTGTCTGCCAGTAAGGGTACCCGCACTGCCTGCCAAAGTATGATGCGGTATCTTTGGTTTTACCTGGCTGGTGATGGAAGCAGCAGTAGATTCTGCTCTGGAGGGTAGATTCTGCTCTGGAGTTTCTCTGAAACTGCTATGTTTGCAGAAAAAAAGGGTTAATCCTATATGGACTTGGCACCCAGACCACTTCATTAAGCTGAAGTGGTCTGGGTGCCTATAGCGGTCCTTTAAAGGTAGGCAGACAATGTAAAAGAGAAGCAGAAAATGCTAGCAGAATGCTTGGTTGTATAGGGAGAGGTATTAGCAGTAGAAAGAGGGAAGTGCTCATGCCATTGTACAGAACACTGGTGAGACCTCACTTGGAGTATTGTACACAGTACTCGAGACCGTATCTCCAGAAGGATATTGATACCTTATAGAGGGTTCAGAGAAGGGCTACTAAACCGGTTCATGGATTGCAGGATAAAACTTACAAGGAAAGGTTAAAGGATCTTAACATGTATAGCTTGGAGGAAAGACGAGACAGGGGGGATATGATAGAAACATTTAAATACATAAAGGGAATCAACACAGTAAAGGAGGAGACTATATTTAAAAGAAGAAAAACCACAACAAGAGGACAGTCTTAAATTAGAGGGACAAAGGTTTAAAAATAATACCAGGAAGTATTACTTTACTGAGAGGGTAGTGGATGCATGGAATAGCCTTCCAGCTGAATTGGTAGAGGTTAGCACAGTAAAGGAGTTTAAGCATGCGTGGGATAGGCATAAGGCTATCCAAGCTATAAGGATAATAAATACAATGTTAAACAAAAATCTGCAAACCAGTCAAGCCATAAGACTTACAGACCCTATCAGTGTTAGCTTCCAGGTATATATACCCAGTCTAATCCAACTATGAAGCAGATAGAAATATCCTAATATACAGAATTATGGGATGGTAAACATGCCTGGAAATCACTGGATTAACCCCAGACACTTAAGAGCGGCATTTTGTTTTGTCTACCCCGTGACCCTTCCCCTTGATGTCCTCTTCATTATTGTGGGAGGAAGTGAAGGCCCCTGGGAGCCATCTTATCAGGTGTGAAGGACACATTATTGCAAACTTTGAATCTCAGTCCAGTAAAGGTTCATTCTCCCACCGCTCACAGGTTGATAACCCAAGACGAAGCCAACAAAGTATCTTTGATTACATGAGTTCCCAAGACAAAGACTGGCAAAAACAAGGGTGAGTGAAAGCAGCTGGCATCCTGCGATTACAAGTACTCCCTATAACCTCTCCTAGTACTCTCTATAATCCATCCTAGTACTCACTATAACCACTTCTAGTACTCACTGTAACTTCTCATAGAACTTTGTAAAACCTCTCCAAGTACTCGGTAAAACCTCTCTTAATACTCACTATAACCTCTCCTAGTACTCTCTAAAAAAAACCTCCTGTACTTACTATAAACTCTCCTAGTACGCTCTAAAAAAACCTCCTGTACTTACTATAAACTCTCCCAATACTCACTATAACTTTTCCTAGTACTCACTATAATCTCTCCTAGTACTCACTATAATCTCTCCCAATACTCGCTATAACTTTTTCTAGTACTCACTTTAACCTCTCTTGGTACTCCCTAAAAACCTTAATACTTCTCTATCAGAAAAATCATGTGCACAAGGTCCAACAATGCTTCTCTATAAGAAGCATTTGATTGGACAGTTGAACAGAAAGGAATGACATGGTGCAATCAGGAAGAAGGTGCTAATGTGTTGCAGTTATGATAGCTGCTCTCTTGGTCACACCGTTACCATTTGACCAAACAATGCTCAGTTTCATGATAAAGAAGGCACAGGCTAATTAAACGAACACTATAGTCACCAAAACAACTTTTGCTTAATGAAGCAGTTTTAGTGTATAGATCATGCCCTTGCAGTCTCACTGCTCAATTCTTTGCCATTTATAAGTTAAATCACTTTATTTATACAGCTCTAGCCACACCTCCCTGCATGTGACTTACACAGCCTTACGAAACACTTCCTGTAAGAGATCTAGTGTTTAAACTTCTTTATTGCACAGTGTCTTTAATTAAGCATTTCTAATCTTCTGCTCTGTTATTGGCCAGAGCAGGAGATGAAAACTTCTAAAATAAAAACTGAATTACATTTTTGTTTCATGCAGACTGCGTGAGTCATAGCCAAGGGAGGTGTGGCTAGGGCTGCATAAACAGAAACAAAGTGATTTAGCTCTTCAATGGCAGAGAATTGAACAGTGAGACTGTTTTATACACCAAAACTGCTTCATTAAGCTAAAGTTGTTATGGTGCCTATAGTATCCCCTTCATATAAATAATACAGATTACACTGCCGTCTATTGTGTTTATGTCTGGGTGCCATTTAATTTCTCTGTGGTCTTTGTCCACAGGATGTTACCTCTCACAGTAGATACAGGGGCGTTTGCCTTCACTGCGTTTGGGGGAGTCCCTGCTCTGGAGTTTTCATTTGTAGAGGTGAGAGATGATGCAAATTAAAAAATAAGCAGAATCAACCAGAGAGATACCTAGGGTAACAGACAGTTCCCGGGAAGCAGATACCCCATGTCATACCTAGGGTAACAGACAATTCCCAGGGCACAAATACCCCCATGCCACACCCCATGTCATACCTAGGGTAACAGACAGTTCCAGGGGGGCAGATTCTCCTATACCATACTATACCCACATGTCATACTTGGGTAACAGGCAGTTCCCAGGGCACAGCTACCCCCATGCCATACCTGGGTAACAGACAGTTCCGGGAGGGCAGATACCCTCATACCATACTATACCCCCATATTATACCTAGGGTAACACACAGTTCCTGGAAGGGCAGATATCCCCATGCCACACTATACCCACATTTCATACATAGGGTAAAAGACAGCTCACGGGACAGATAATCCATGCCATACTATACCCCATGTCATACCTAGGTTAACATACAGTTCCCAGGGCACAGATACACCCATGCCATACCTAGGGTAACAGACAGTTTCCGATGGGTTGCAGCTTACTATACCCCATGTCATACCTAGGGTAACAGACAGTTCCGGGAGGGCAGATACCCTCATACCATACTATACCCCCATATTATACCTAGGGTAACACACAGTTCCTGGAAGGGCAGATATCCCCATGCCACACTATACCCACATTTCATACATAGGGTAAAAGACAGCTCCCGGGACAGATAATCCATGCCATACTATACCCCATGTCATACCTAGGGTAACATACAGTTCCCAGGGCACAGATACACCCATGCCATACCTAGGGTAATAGACAGTTTCCGATGGGTTGCAGCTTACTATACCCCATGTCATACCTAGGGTAACAGACAGTTCCCAGGGGACAGATACTCCCATATCATACTATACTCCATGTAATACCTAGGGTAACAGACAGTTCCCGGGGACAGATACCCCCATGCCATACTATGCTCCATGTCATACCTAGAGTAGCACGCAGTTCCTGGTGGCAGATAACCTCATGCCATACTTTACCCCATGCCATACCTAGGGTACTGTCTGTTATAAGTACATGTGTTGTAGTACCAAATAAATCACAATGCCACATTCATTGGCATGTAATCCAGTTAATAATCATTGGACAGCTCAATGAGTTGTTTACAAATATTTTTAAAGTTAAAGAATTTTCAATTCCCATTTCTCTGACGCTGACAGAAAGCATTAGGTCGAATCCCAGCCTGTAAGGTCCAGAAATAACTCTAATTCAATTTGTGCCCCAACGTC